TACTTTTCCTTATAGTTATTATTTTATTCCTTATAGTTATTATTTTATTCCTTATAGTTATTTCTAGTTATTTTTCCTAGTTAATATAGATTAAGTAGGAGTAATAATAGGTAGTTTTAAAGCTAAAAGAATAATCTCCTATTACCTAGTATATCTAGTACTTACCTATACTATATAACTAGATAGAAGTTATATAATATAATAACCTTACCTCTTACCCTATATATGCCCTATTGGCCTTAATAATCTTACCTAATATAAGAGTAGCTAGTTAATTTAATACTAGTATACTATAAGCCTAAGTACTAATAAAGATTATATTAATAGTCTAAATTAAGTAGAATAATAAAACTATAAAGATAATATCCTTTAATAGAATAAACTTAATTATACTATTAGGTATTATTAGGCTATAAATAGCTATTAGTAACCTTAAATTCTAGGTCTTTTTAATATTAACCTCTTTCTTAATATCCCTTAAGGATATAGATTAACTTAGTATTTAGTTTAATAACCTTATAAATACCCTTATTAAAGGTAATATTATTATCCTAATAATTAGGTAATAGGGGTACTTATTCTAGCTACTAAGCCTAGCTCTAGTAGTAGCCTTCTATTATATAAAATAAGAGCTTAGGTAGCTATATTAGAGATTTAGCTACCTATTAGCACTTAAGTAATATTCTAGAGTAGGCTAGTAAAGACTTTAATATTAATACCTTAAAGAAGATAATAAAGATATATAAGAATTACTAATTAAACTAGAAAGCTCCTAGCTAATTCTACTTTATAATTAAAAATAACTATAAATTTAACTATAAGATTATAGTAAATATCTATTATATTAATAGTAAGCTAGTCTTTTATATTATTAATTTAGTAATAGCCTTTTAAGTTATAAGATTTCTTTAAAGCTAAGATTAGAAGGTAAAGAATATATAGAATATAATTCTAGAATACTAAATTAATATATATATTAGCCTACCTAACTAGATTATTTATAATATTAAAAAGAACTTTACTTTTACTAAATTTAAATACTATATAGATAGCCTTTATATCTAAATCTAAGCTATCCCTATTAAGGCTTATAATAGTATAGGAAAAGTAGAAAGGTATTATAATATTCTTTATTAAGTATTTAAGGTTATTAAAAATAATATTAATAATATTATAAATAAGTATTAGATTCTTTAAATAGCTATTAAAGCTATTAATAATATAGTAAGCCTAAATAGCCTTATCTTAATACTATTAATCTTTAGTATATACTCCTAAATATCCTACTAATTACCTCTTTACCTAGATACCTATAAATAAAATAAAGTAATTTAGAAGATAATAATAAAGGTTTATATCCTTTACTAAAAGTATTAAATTAAAAAGATATAAGCTTAAAGAAATAAGCTAAATATAAGCCTTTTTTACTAATTACCTTTATAATTAAATATCTTTATATAATATAAAAAGAAAAAATAATAAGGCTTATTTAAGATAGTAATAATAAAAAGTAAAACCTATATTATTAAGATACTAAAGGGACTATTAAAGTTCTATTTAATAATAGTCTATTCTTTCTAGAAAGATAAGATAAAAGAAGAAAGAATAAAGAAGGTTAAGGTAGAATATAAAGAGGGGGGTAATAAAGGTAAAAGTAAAGTATAAAAAAGGTTTAGAATAGTAGCTAGAAACCTTTTTAAGAATAAAGATATTAATAAAACCTTATTAGTACTATTAAGGTATAATTAGAAGGCTATTACTATATAACCTAGTTAAGAAATTATAGTATTAAAAGGCTAGGTATTTTTTAATAATATTATAAGCCTAGCTTCTAGTTAAGACTTTAATAAAGGTTAAGCCTTTAATAAAAACACTATAGGCCTAGTTTCTAATTAAGATATTAATAAGGGCTAAGCCTTTATTAGTAATATTAAGGAATTTAAAAGTAAAAGAAATAAAAAAGATAACTTAGTAAGGTTAAAGCTAGTATATATTATTAAGTATAATAATTAGATTAAATACTAGGTAATAATTCTTACTAGTATCTAGTCTTAGCTAGCCTAGCTTAGTTAATAATAAATAATAAAAGGTTTTTAAGCTAAAAAAAAGGGAAATTTTACCTAGCTATATAGTTTAGACCCCTTTAAGGGGGATAAGATTATAAAAAGGGGGGTAGAAAAAATAATAATAAAGAGATTATTAAGATTAATAAAAAGTAAGCTAATAAAAAGATATAAAGCCTATTTAATAAATATAGAATTTAAAAAGTATATAAATTACCTAAATAATAAAGGTAGTTATAAGATCTTTATAATAAAAACTATAAATAAGGAAAATATTATATACTTTAAAGTATACCTCTTTATAAAAGAAAAAAGTAATTATAAGCTAATAGTTAAATTATATAAGGCTAGAATTATTATAATACTTAATATACTATTTAAATAGTTAAATAAGGTAGAAATTAAGGGCTTAATAACTACTAGTATATTTAAATTTATAGAATTTAATCTTAAGGTTTATAAAGGTATATAAATCTTTAATTTAAGGCTTATTAATAAAATTAAAAGTAAAGGAATTAAGAAGAAGTATAAAAAGTCTAGAATAGTAATTTATAGTTTTAATAACTAAGATAAAGCCTTAATTTTAATAGTATTATTTATAATTTAATAATTAAGTTAGAGAATTATTATTACTATTACTTTCTTAATTATTAAGAAAAGAGGTAAAAGATATAGTAAGATAAAAGGTACTAGGAAGTAAATCTAGTCTAAAGATATTACCTAGGTATATACTTAATTAAAAATAATACTAAATAAAATAATTCTAGTAAGGCTATTAAAATAAATATAGTATTAATACCTATAAGGTATAATTATAATAGTTTTAAGGCCTCTTTATAGTATTCTAGAATTAGGTAATTACTAGTATATAATATACTTAAAGTATCTTTTTAAATAGCTAGGTATAGCTATCTTAATATTTAACCTATACCTCTTTATTTTAAATAAAGAGGAATTTAAGATTATAAGCCTTTAAATAGATAATATACTTATTCTAAGTAATAAGGGCTTTATTAAAAAAGAAGATAAAGAAATATTAAAAGTAGGTATTATTATAAAGCTAAAAGATAATTTAATAGTAAAAAACCTATTATTCTTTAATAGCTACTACCTAGACCTTAAAGAAGATAATATAATTATTATAAGCTAATATAAATAAAGAAAAAAACTAAAAATACCTTTAACTAAAGAAAAGTATACCTAATAAAGAGTCTAAGAAGTATATATTACTAGTATTTATTAGCTAGAAGTAGTATTTAACCTTTCTATAACTATATAATAGTAATAACCTAAAGAGGAAGACTTTAAAAAGCTAGGAATAAGAATCTAGTAGTAAATAGATAATTAGGAAAGAGGTATTTAATATATTTTAATAAACCTTAAGAAAGTAAAGATATTTATCTTTATTAATAGATTATTTATTAATAATAAGGATTTAAGCTTCTAGATAGGTTATATTATTATAATTAGTAATAAGGAATAAATTAATAATAATAAATTTATATTTAAAAGAAATATTATTACTTAAAGCTTAATAAAATTAAAAAAAGTAATAAGATTAGCTTTAATATTAGAATTATATAATATAGTTATAAAAATAGATATAAAATATACTATTAGCTTAATAATTAATATAATTATAAAGAAATTAAATATCCTAAAAATCCTAATAATTATCTATATTAACTTCTTATTACTATATAAATACCTTATTAAGCTTAAAATAACTAAAAAAAAATAGCTAATAATTAATATTATAACTCTTTATTAATTATATAAAAGAAAAGAAATTTATAAATTAATAGTAATAATAACCTAGTTAATATTATAATAAAAGTATTACTAAATTAAGTAATATAAAGCCTTATTAAATTAAATAAGTTAAATATATAAATAAAAGGATAGGTAGAATATAAGAATAAGCTAAAAGAGGTAAATTATTAAAAGATTAAGGTATTAAGGAAATTATTAAGAGAAAAGTATATATATAAAGGGAAAAAAGGGCTCTAATTAGCTAGGAAGGGCCTAGAATAAAAGAATAGAGTTTTAATATTAATAATACTAAAAGGAATAGCTTTTTATTATATTTTTAAGTAAATTAGGCCTACTTATAAAGCTATAAAGAGAGAAAGTATAAGTATTAACCCTATATAAGTAAGTAACTTAAAGCTAGCCTCTTATTAGCTAGTATATAGGTAGGAGACTTACTTTTAAAGGCTATAGACCTATTAATCCTAGCTATTAAGGAAGGTAGTATTTATATTAGAGTTATTTAAATTATCTTAATTATTAGGAACTAAATTAATATTATTATTGCTTTTATTATTATTTAAATACACCTTGATTCTAACACTATAACACAATGAAATAAAACGCAGCAGTTCTGCTTTGGATCTGAATATCTTATTAAGCCGGACCCGGCTTTGTGTTGAGTTATACACTCACTTTTTGTAGCGCTTTCTTTATATCACAATACTTTGTGCCTAACCTTTGTGCCTAACACCGACCCCACCCTGTTGAGGTTTTACCGGGGTTTTCCCAAGTCGGGCTTGACCGTGCCAAGCCGGTTAGGTTACCGTTTGTAGCCTTTCTGGGGATAGGCAGCCTAGCGCGCGTGCGGCAGCGGACCTCGTGCGGGGTTGCCCCTGACTAGGGTTGTCAATTTGCCCACTTTACACAGCCAAACTTTACACCAAACTTTACACAGCCAAACTTTACACAGCCAAACTTTACACAGCCAAACTTTACGCAAATCCAACCATCCATGCACGAAACAACCACAAAGGAAACCACCAAGCGTGAGACGCAGCCTGTCATGGGGTCCCAGGACCAGACTGGCAGTTCTGCCCTGCCACTCATGAAAGTTGACCACCTGGCATGCTCCACGTTCACCAAGAACCAGCGAGAGTGGCTTGACCAGATGTTCCAACTGCAGACGAGGCAACAAATTGGCAAACTCATGACCAAGATCTGGGGCGGCGTTCCTATATACATGCCCGACCCCCAGGCTGGATCGTACAACCTCGCTCATCGTATGCAGTTCGACTCGGGCCAAGACGCCGTGCTGCGCCAAGTAAATCGTGGAACGTCCATGTTTCCAGACGAGAAAACGACAGCCGAAGTCAACGTCATGCGCCTCGTTGCCGAAAAGACGGCCATCCCGGTCGCCTTCGTGCAGTGCGCGAAACTGACGGGCGATGCAAAGGAGAAGGGCGCCGAGGACCTGGACACGCCCGACTTGCGGCCCTTTATCCTGATGGAGTATCTTCCCCATGACCGGGACATGGGCAAGGCGCTCAACACCCCTGGCTTCCCTGATGAAGAGCCGCAAGTCCTCAACCCGAAGCTCGATCCCGCGGAGCTCAAAAGGCTATACCGCCTGGCGGCGAATGCTCTCCTCGACCTGTCGCGGCTGGAGTTTGACGCGATAGGCTCGCCGGAGCTGATGGACGATGGCTCGTCCAAGGTGACTTCTCGGCCTCTGACCCGGCGCATGAACGAGCTGGTGGCCATGGGCGGCTGCAGACGCGACGACCTGCCGCAAACCGTCTTCACGTCCGCGCACGAGTACCTTGTGACGCTCGCCCAGCTGCACATGGACCACCTGGCATACCAGCAAAACGATGCTTGGAGCGATGAGCTGGACTGCCGGCAAAAGTACGTCGCCAGGCTGCTCTTCCGCAACATGGTCAGCGCGCGAGAGCGCTGTGACGCCGACCGGGGCCCATTCACGCTCTGGTGCGACGACTTCCGGCCAACCAACATACTGCTCCGCGGCGACGACCTGGCTGGCGTCGTTGACTGGGAGTTTGCGTATGCCGCGCCGGCCGCGTTCGCCCGCGCGCCGCCCTGGTGGCTGCTTCTGCAGCGCCCCGAGGAATGGCGCGCCGGCTGGGTCGACTGGAAAAGGGCGTACGAGACGGCCCTGGCCGTGTTCCTCGCGGCCATGACCGACGCCGAGGACGCGGCCATTGCCGCCGGACGTCTGGCGGAGCGACACCGGCTGTCGCGACAGATGCTGCAGAGCTGGGAAAACGGAGACTTTTGGGTCGTGTATGCCCTGCAGATGGACTATGACTTTGATTATGTGTTTTGGAATGGCATCTTTACGCGCCACTACGGGCCGTGCAAGGACTTTGACGCGGTCTGGGAAAAGGCATGGTCGGTGCTTACGCACGAGGAAAGACGAGAGGCACTGCGTTTTGCCAGCGACAAGGTATCGGGTTTGGGAGGATGAGGAGGATGCGTTCCATGGATGCCAGGAGGATGCGGGACGCTTCAGCTCGCGACCCCTGCGTAGGGAGTATTCTTTGTGAGTGCTGTAGAAGGAAATGTTGAGAGTATTCTTCATTTAGTAAATATAGTGTATGAATGCCGTTACGATGTGACTAGTGCACGAATATAGACAGAAATGCATCCGCACTTTCCTAGACAAACAGCTTCAAGGTCAACTCAACATTTTAAGAATGTTTTGTGTCTGGATGACCCAACAGAGTTGGTATTCTGAGCCGGTTGTAAGTGAGCGAACACTTGTTTTCAGCTGGGCGACGTAGTCTGGTGGTCAAGACAGCTGAACCCTGCCCGGACTCAACAAGAAGGAAAAAGAGAAAAAGAACAGGGAAAATATGAAAATAGGGAAAAATGATAAAGTCATGTCAAGGTTGCAAACGTCTACAGCCAATTCAAACACCTGCAGCCGGCACTCAACCGCGGGCTCAATCCGCACTCGGAGTACGGCGGGTTCAAGAATTCGAGTCCGATGAATCAATGTGAATATTTTGAGTTTATATCAAGAACTTTTGAGTTTGACGAGTTGTCAGCTTCCATGGCCAATTTCCCAACTCCTATGTCACTGTGTTGGCTTACTGCCCCACACAAGCTCTCGCAACCATCAACCATCGCCACAGCTCCCCCTTCCAACGTCCTGCAAACCACACAAACAGCCCGTCGTCCCCCGTCGCCACCATGTCGCGCCGACCAGCCAAAGGCGACTACATCGAGACGGTAAGCGCCAAACCCCGCGACAAGAACCCCTCCTTTCCTCGCCCACCGCGCTGACCTTTCCCCCCTTTAGGACACCGGCAACAAGGTCGCCCGCAAAGCCGTGCTCGTCGGCACGCAAAACATTGTTCTCGGCGGCAAGACGGTCATCCAGCCGGACGTCATGATCCGGGGCGACCTCGTGCGCACCGCGCCCTCCTCCTCCAGCACCGCCACCGCCACCGCGTCCAACACGGCCGTCGCCATCGGCCGCTACTGCTTTCTCAGCCGGGGCGTGGTGCTGCGCCCGCCGGGGCGCGTATACAAGGGCGCGTACACGTACATGCCGCTGCGGCTGGGCGACCACGTGTTTGTCGGCGCCGGCAGCGTCGTCCAGGCCGCGAGCGTCGGCAGCCACGTGTCCATTGGCCGCGGCTGCACCGTCGGCGAGTTTGCCATTCTCAAGGACTACGTCCGCGTGCTCGACGGCGCCGCCGTCGCCCCGTTTGCGGTTATCCCGAGCTTCTCCATTGTTGCTGGGCAGCCGGCGCGCGTCGTGGGTGAGATCCCAGAGGGCGGCCATGACGCGTTTGAGCTGCGCGACTTGTACAAGACGGTGGGGAACAATCCGCAGCCTCCGCCGTAGGGGAGGTCGTGAGGGGAAGTCCTCGGGGGCGAGAAATGCGGGCGTTTCTACGACGAGGGCGGATGCAGCATCGACCACGAAGACAGTTTCGGGTGACAAGATTTGTCTTTTACATAATACGATACCAGCATAGCATGACTTTATGAGCAAGCAAAGGAGTGGCGCTCTTTTATTTTACAACACTGTGAGCTCATCCAAATTTGTGTCATTATCATCTATGGCAACATGTATACATCGCTACCGGCTTGCACCGTCAGCCCAAGTGTACAACCAAGCAGACGTGTCCGTCGACAACGCAGCGACGAATGCTCCCTCTCTTTCTCCCCCGCTTCTAAGCACACAGGGTAAGGGTCGTGTCGCTGCTGCGCGTGCAGGTCTTGACCTGGCTGCCGGCGGGCGGGCGGCCGTCGGGCCAGACAATGGACTGGCAGTTGCTGTTGGACGAGGTGACCTGGACGCGCTTGCCGGCAAAGGGGTCGCCAAAGACGTCGGACAGGTCGTACCAGATGCGGTCCGGGTCGAGGGTGTAGGCAAAGTTGGTCTGGGGCTTGCCGGTGTAGAGGCCGTCGCGGTCGCGCGTGATCTTGAGGCTGCGCCCGCCCGTCTTGGGGTCGCGCGTGTACTGCTCGGCGTACTGCCCGCCCCGCGCCGCGAGCGTGTTGGCCGCCGAGATGTCGCTGCCGACGGACCACAGCGTCACTTCAAACGAGCAGTTGTTGACCACCTTGGCCTTGCCGGCGGGGTTGGTGCCGGTGGCGGCTGCGAGGCCGGCGAGGGCGACGAGGGCAAGCTGCTGGAGCATTGTGTGAGAGGATCAAGTTGAATGTGTAAGTAAAGGGCAAGTGTGTTTCTGTGAGAGTGTCTGGTCAGGCAATTTCACCAGAATTCTGAGAGACGTCGTGTCCCTTTTATACTTGTTTCTGGCTCGGTTCGAGAGCCCTCAGCTGCCAACCCAGCTCGTATTTCACCACATTCGCCCAGCACACCTCAAGGCAGACTGAGCCGCAGACTCGTTCGTTTTTTCTCGTTTTTTCTCGTTTTTTTCGTCTCTGTTGGGCTCGTGTATCGGACCACAGCATTTGTGGAATGACCAAGGTGGCCGGGCCGGGGTGCTGCATGACGACTGCATCAACGTGCATCTCGTGAAGCCAGCCGTCAGCGCGACGGGTCCCAATGTAGAAGTATTTCAGCTCTCGCAGGGCTGTTTGGAGATGCTTCGCAGACGTCGACCGTGACAAACGGATATTGCTCATGTCGACGCCCCGTCGGATGGTGCTGACGCATAGGGCCAGGCTTGGCGGAGCCCCGGCAGACGGCAGAATACGAGGTTCGATGCAGCCTGGGCCTTGGGTTGGAGTTGAATACCGGGAGATGGATGGACTGACTCGTAGACTATCCCGAGGACTTTGAAAAGACGATGGATGCAATGGCTTGGAGGTCAATTGATCGTCGGGCTCGGATGTTGCGTGAGACGGCTACACGACCAGCTTGCCCCAGACTGGGTCAGCTGCTTCCATTGTGTTACCCGTGATGGCGGCGATCAAGAGGAGCAAGGACAGCTCAATACGGCACTCTTCACATCATGCCCTTTTCTAGTCGTGGATGGCATAGCCGTCTGGCCTTGGCGTGCGTTGCCGCAGGCTCATGAGACGACTTGGGCACCAGGGTACGCGCACATTTCCATGCCCACAATGAGCAGCCAGGAAGCAGAGCGAGCCACGGTTGTTCGGACATGACTGCATGCTGCTTTCCGTGGAATGAGGGGAAGCAGAATGGTCGGAGCACAGAAGAGGCTCTCGGCTCGATTTGCCCCGCCAGCTGAGATATGCAAGCTCTGGTGGCGCGGGGTAGTTTTGATGGGTGCCTACCTTGCCTTGCCATACTTTTTAGTGTTTTTAGGTGTGGCTAAATATAGATACAAGTTGCAAAGTCCGTATAGGAACATGGAGGGGAATGTGCGGCCAGCTCGGGCACTTTGTTCAACAGGGCGACATTCCGCGTTGCATGCTCACGGGTGCAACACCTCGGAAGGGGCGGGAGGGACATGCATCGCAGACCATCCTTTTTCGTTGTCCGCGTATTGCGTTCCTTTGGGATTTCAAGGGTCTGACCAGGCGATTCGCAGGGATGTTGGAGAATACTAGTCATTACGCTCCATTGCAGGGCTGAAAATGAAGTGCCAGCTCTGCTTCCCCAAGTGTATAATAAGTCCCACCTGTTTTTATACTACGCACATACTAGGTTAAATTAAGCTTGCCAAGTCTTGCCATGTATTTCGATTGGTGTATTTATTCCGTATCCCAAGTCACCGAGCTCCGCAAACGGTGAAATGGATTCGTGAGCCTCTCGCTGTCTCTCCGTACAATTGTTGACCACACGTCATTTAAACAGCACATTATCACATTATCAAAATGAAGAAATTGTCATGACGTTTTACTTATTACGCATAGCTGCTCCGTACATGACCCTCATACCTACTATATTTTGGTGGTAGCGGTCAAGAGAGCGACGCACTGGAGTTGATCATGAAGCTCCACTGCATCGCACTCAATGTAGAACTGAATTTCCGAGAATGGCATGCATACAAATCAAGTTTGTGGCAAGCCAGAGAGGCTGTAAGAAGTGATAAATAGGCTTAAAGAAGTGCCGAAACCAACTCTTCAACATCCATGATGGTCCTGGTTTGTGAACATCTTAAAGCTTGCCCAGCATCATATCCTGGCATCATATCCTGTAACGAGCCAAGATCTTTGTCAGTTCCTCCGTGTCGTCAATCTCGCCATCGAGCGCCACCGACGGGCCCTTTCTTTTAAAGTATTTTTGCTCAAATTCCGGCGTGTAGTAGCCAGCGTACTCCCAGTCAATGATGGCCCGAATCTTGAGCGTCTCGGGGTCAACAATGACATTGTACGCCGAAAGATCATTGTGGCAAAAGACAAGATCTCCTTCCTCTCTCTGCTTTAGTTTCCAGGGACGCCTATCCGAGTTCTTCAGGATGCGCCACGGCGGCAGTACCTATTCCCAGTCCCGTCAGTCCCTTCGCTTCAGCAAGCTTCACAGTCCGACGTACCTTGCCGCCCGGACCGCCCCACGTGGATGATTTCAGTCTCTGCAGCGTTTCCATGTGCTGGTTCAACTCCTTCTCGACAATCTTCTTCCCGCCTTCATCAACCTCCTCCATGAGGACGCCGTCGACGTACTCGGTGACGAGGTAGGCGGCGCCGTCGTCCTCGAAGCAGGCATACAGCTTCGGCAGCGGAATGTCGGTGTTTTCGGAGAGAAACTGCAGACAGGCCCCCTCGTTGAGGATCCGCTCGAGATTGAAGAGCGGAATGTGCATGTACCCGTTGTGCTGCTGCCACTCCGAGGGTCGCAAGCTGCGCTTGACCATTGTGCCGCCAACGCGATAGTACTTGCGGTCGGGCGTGATGGAGATGCAGTTCTCCTCGCGTTTATCGTTCAGTTCCTGGTTGGTAGGGGGGGCCATGGCGTCGGATGTGTTCTCAGGTTGGAATTTGTTGAATAGAGGCTGACGAGTTCAAATACTAGGGAAGTTGTAGTTGCAAGAGTGAGATTGAGAGTGAGAAATGGCGCGCTTGCCTGCATCTATCCCCGCTTCCGAGGCAATGCTAGCAGCAGCAGTCACAGTGAGTCTAAAAAATATATAGAAATAGGTCGCGATTGGGTCGGCGCGGGTGATCACAGCCGCATGCTAGGTTTATTGTCGACTGATTTGTTGACTCTTTTGTTGACTCTTTCCAATACCGTCAGCCGAGTAGCCGCGCAGCTCATGTTGGTTGCCAGTGTTGCAGGTGGTAGTATTTATCGCCGCGGACGTTGAGTCACATTCAAACAGGAAAAGGATTTTGATAATGAGTTTGGTATTTTTCTGGTACTACTTTCACACGAGTTTGTTGAAATTGCCTCGGATCAGAGCCTAGCACAACTCAGCACTTCGTCCCGTCATGCCCAATGTCATTTACATATTCCCATTCCCTCGACTAATAAGTATACATGGACTGTGATGACCTCACTACCCTTTTTTTCGTGCCAACGAACAGATTTTCCGGGCCTCGCCGCCTAACAAAAGCCATTTCCGGCTTTAGTAATGCCGAAGCGCACCGCATACTGCGCCAAGTCGTAGTAGCCCGCGTTGCCCGGTGCGCACGCGGCCTCGATGTTGGCAAAGACGGGGAGCAAGCCGTATCCCTCGCAGCGGTCGCCGGCGCCGCCGTAGCTGCACCCGTACGCGACGGCGGCGCCGCGCTGAAACGCAATCGCGCTGTGAAAGTACGTGTCGTGGCAGCCGGCCTCGATGGCGGCCACGGCGGCGTTGACGTCGGCGAGCGGGCCCGCGCTGAAGCCGTCGCACGAGACGCCGTCCCAGCGCGCATCTTTCGCCGCAGTGCTGGTGTCGGGGGACGCGGGCACGGTGGACGGGTCGACGGCGCCGTGGAAGAACCACGAAAAGGTACCGGAGGCGTCGACGCGCCCGAGGTACAGCCCGTCGCCGGCGGGTAGGGCGGGCAGGGCGGTGCTGGTGGGCGAGGCCAAGACGGCGCTGAGGGAGACGAGAGCGGCGGCGATAGACGACTTCATCTTGTGAGGTGTGGGAAAGAGGGGTTGGTAAGAGTCGGTGTTGATGAGTCGGATGATCAACTCTGGTTGCGATGCTAGGAATGAAGAAATTGGAAGATGCAGGGAGAAATCAGCTCCTATTTATACTTACTGTCCACTCGATAGTATAAACTCGTGGCTCTCTGCCTCGGGTGTTTTCATCAGGGGGTCGCAGACGGGCTGCATGCAGTGTATTGCCAACGATATGCAGTTGGTGAGGCAGGTATCGAACGACTGTGTGTAGGCAGTATTGGATCAACCATCACCATGCAGGTACACACGTCATTGCCATACGTTATGTGGCCATAGTGAGGAAGACTTGTAGGGGCACAGTATCTGGTTCCATCTGGAGCAGTCACTACGAATGGCATTCTTTCGGTTCTTGGCAACCCAGTCTGTTCTTGTCTTTGCGGCACATCCGACCGTGGACATTGTCTGATTCATGTTGTTTCCGTCTGGCAGTCTACCACCGCGTCGGGTTGCAGCTGCGCAAGTTTTCAAAATTTCTTCTTCTTTTTCATAGTCCTGCAGGCTCCGTCGTCTTCACCTGCTCTAGGTGGACATGATCCCTAATACTTATATATCATCTATAGCGATGGACTATTTCTCTTTTATTGCCTGCAGCGTGTCATGGGCTATGCGGGCAGACTCGGCACTTATTTTATTTCCAGTTTTTATACCCGCATACCCGACCTCCCCAGAATCGGTATTTCTGGCTAGCTTCACAGAACATGGTCGAGTTTTTATTGGCCGGCAATGTTTCCGTGTCGATATCGTCCCATCTTCTGGGTGGATCGTTGTCCAAGCATCAGACGGAGAGCTCTTCATGTAATCTCCTCGGTTCTCGGCAGATGCCGGCTGCTGACCATTTAATACCTGCAAGGTTACCAATACTACCAATAATTCGGGCAATGCCATGTGTGCACACCCCAAGCACACCCCCAGGCCGTATACATATCGGAGAATCATGCCACACAGTGGACATGAAAAAGCAAGCCGCCTGTATATTTCTTACTAGTATTGTACTCCTTACTCTCCGTGTTTTGACTCCTTCCGCTATCCCCTTATTATTTTGCTCATGGTGTCGTGACGGACATAAGCAGATCGGTATAAGCGGATCGGTACAAGCTCAACGGCGACACGGCCTCCATCGGCGCAGCCCAGTGCTTCCCGCCCCAAAGCACGCCAGAATACCATTTAGATATCAAAGTGGCGAAATACATAATCATATAAGGCAAATCATGTTCATAGCCTTGTTCATTTCTTCGTATATTCTCATTGATTACGTCCTCACAGCTTTTGCTTGCTCACTGCGTCTTCCACCTCGCAGAATGCCTTGAACGTGACAAACTCGTCCTCCCCCGTCGTTGTCGACTCGAGCACCAGCTCAGCCGTGGAGCCGACAAAAAACACGTATCCCTCATTCATCTCATAGGTCGTGGGGCCGACCGAGATGGTGCCGGTGCCGTTTGTGCAAATGACGATGCTCGGGCCGTCGAGCGGCTCAAAGGTGGCCTTGGCGTCGGGCCCGCGCAGGACGCTGCGGACCACGGCAAACTCGTCAATCGGGGGGTCGTAGAGGAGGACGGCGGAGCCGCTGCTGTAGCCGGCGCGGTTGAGCGTCGCGTAGGGGTACTCGGTCGGCACCATCTTTTGCTCGTCAATGGGCGCGTAGTTGTACGTGAGCATGTCGACGAGCGTGCCGACGTCCTTGAACTTGGGCGTGAAGCCGGCGCGGACCACATTGTCCGAAGCGGCCATGCACTCGATGATGTCGCCCGAGACGTACGCGTGGATGTCGTCGGCGACGAGGAAGAGCGCCTCGCCCACGTCCATCTTGATAAAGTTGAGGAAGAAGAGCACAAACAGGCCAATGTCGTCCTGGAACTGGCTGTCGAGACGCACGACAAGCTCCGACAGCGTCGCGCCAGAGGTGGACGGCACGCCGCCGCCGGCGAACTGGTCCTTATCCTTCTTCGCCAGCTCGACGAGCGTCTTGACCTCGGCGGCGATCGATTCCTGCGACGCGCCCATGAGGCCAGCAAAGGCCTTCTTCAGCGCCTGCTTCTTCTTGTCCTCGCCGGGGCCGCCGTCGGTGTGCTCGCCGGCGCAGGCCTCAAACTGGGCGGCGGCGTCCTCGCCGACGAGGCGGCGCAGCGGGGGCAGGACGCGCAGAAAGTGGGCGACCTCGGCGAGGGGCCGGAAGCCGCAGAGGCCCTCAAAGGGGGTGATGGCAATGGCCATCTCGGGCTTGTGGTTGTCGTCGGGGTAGTTTTTGGCGTCGCGGGCGTGCAGGCGCTCGGCGAGGGCCTTGTTGGGGTGCGCCTGGATGGAGAGCGCCTTGTTGATGGAGAGCACCTTGAAGAGAAAGGGCAGCTTGTCGCCGAAGCGGGCCGCGACGGTCGGCGAGAGCAGCGCCTGGTTCTCGGCGACGAGGTCGAGCAGGGTGCGGCCGGTCTGGACGTCGCGCGAGGGGTTGGACGGGTGGGTGCCCATCCAGAGCTTGTTGGGCAGCACAGGTCAGCAGGCGGCGGGGGGGGAGGGGAGGAGCAGGAAGAGACGAACCTCGGCGTAGGGCTTGTCTTGTTGCACGGAAAAGTCGGTCGCCGGGGTCGCGGCCGCAAACTTGGCGGCGGCAGAGTCGCTGCCCTTTTTGCCCCATTCGTACGAGTTGACGCCGCACTGGAGGCGGATGAGGGGGACCTGCATGGCGGGAACGCGGGCAGGGTGTTTGTATGATGGGAGAAGGGACTAGTGAAATAATGCCACGGATGTGGTCAATGTGGTGAGAAAGTGGGAGGAGGATTGACGAGGAATCTGTCCAAGGATGCAAAAGAGGAGGTTGTTCAATGAGAAAGGTTAGGAGGTTAGGAGAGCTTCCCTTCATCAACCCCCGCTGTCCGCCACAATCGCAGCCCCGCCACGGACACGCGCCACAGCTTGATTCAAACGCCGCCCGTAGTATGTACCAACGAACGAATAAGAGAACAAGCTTACTCCTCTCCCCCTTGCCCGTTCTTGCATCAACCCATCTTTAGTCCATCTCATCCACAAGCCCGTCCCACGTTTTTCTCATCCCGTCCCAAGCCGGCATCCCCGCTAGCTAGCCCAACCGATCGCTCCGCGTCGCGCCATCCCCTTCTACTCCGTGCTCCGCGTTACATCTTTTTTTCCCCGTACGACGACGGGGAGCACGATCCGGTTTGCTTCTTTTTTTTTTCTTTTTGCACCGCATCTTGAACGGGCCGTTTCCTTTCCCTTTTTTCTTCTTCTTATCAGCGGCTTCCCGCACAGCATAGACTTTGCCGTCGTACATTTACTTGCATCGGGCCGTTTTGTCGTTTGGATCCCCCCCCGCTCGCTTGGCATTCACATATATAAACGAACTGCATGCATTCAAGTTCTTTGAATTCTTTTTTCCAAAATAAAACTTGAACCTCGTTAACCCTACAAAGACAGAAACGATGCCCCCCCCCACTCCAAAAAATACACACCCTCGAATTACCCCAGTCTTTAACCCATACCGAAAAAGCAGCACCAACCAAACCGGAAAACAAAAAACTCCAAAAGTACATGATTAGGTTTTTTTCTTGACAAATATCCTCCTGCGGGGCTACACACTCCGCTATTCCCTTACACTGTCCGCTTTATTGACCGCGCGTACATGATTAGTAGCTTCCCGACGCTGTTGAGTGGTTGCTGACCCCGTCAACGCCCGCGGCCGCGTGTTCCTCACCGCCGCCGCCGCCCTCTGGGTGCGCACGACTGTCCCCGTAGTCGTACCCAAAGTGGTGTTGCTGTTGCTGCGTCTGGTGGTGGTGGCCGCCGTCGCCGCCCGGTCCCTCGTCCTCGCCGTGCGGGCTACTACCCCCGCCGCCACCGCCGCCACCGCCGCTCTCCCCGGCCGACGACGGCGTCGCCGCGTACATGTCCGGCAAGCGCTCGAGCGACTGCCCAGCCATGTTGCTCTGCTGCATGGGCGCCGCACTAGCATACGGCGACTGCTCGTAGCCGGTCCACACGGGGCTCACGCCGCTTGTTATCGGCGTCGTCGCCGGGGACGGGTACTGCTGCGGCGCACCGCTGCCGCCGCCGCTGCGAGAGGCCGAGAAGACGGCCGACGGCGGTACGCCCCGCGAGGAACCCAGCACCGTCGGCGGCCCGGGCAGCGAGCGGGGCGTCGACGTCGCGCCCATGCCATGGTTGTTGTGCCCGTATGGGCTGCTGCCGCTCGTCGGCAAGCCCTGCGACATGCTTTGCAGCGCAAACGCGCCCGCATCTGCCATGGAGGATGTCGACGGTCTGTCTATCAAGTCGTTCTCACCCTGTTTGCCCGTTGAGTTAGCTGCGTTTCGCTAGCAAGAAAGAGTCAACTCACCATGTAGCTCGTGTCTGGGCTGGGCATGCCATGGTAGGGAATCCCGTGATACGACATGCCGCCGTACGTCATGCCTGTCCCTGCACTGCTGGTGCCGCTCGTGGCATGGCCGCTGCTGCTGCTGCTGGCGCTGTCGCCGTACCCTGCCGTGGTGCCGGGCGTCCAGTTGTACATGACATGGCTCGGGCCGCCGGCAAACGCGGTAGCCGCGCCGTAGCTGCTCGCGTGCGTCGCTTGGGACACGGCAGACATGTTATGTCCGACGGACGCGGTGCCGCGCGACTGGTACTGGCGGCAGGTGTCCATGTCGTAGGTGAAGGTGGTGGCCGTGGTGGCAACGGCCATGCGCTTCTCTTGCTCTTTTTTGCGCATCTCCTGCGGTTCACACATGGGGTTAGTTTTCGGGGACGTTCCCGGTGGCTTTTTTTGGTTGCTGCTTACAGCCAGGGATCCCGCTTGGACGCGCATAAATAGACACTGCGGCTCGTTGGCGTTTTTGCAGTTGCTGCAAGAGCCGCCGGTGCCGTCGTCTCCGCTGCATCGAATCTTTCGTTTCCGGCATCGCAAGCACTAAACCCGATCGATCAGTCAGCAACAAGGTCACGACGAAAATTGAACAACCCAGCAAAAAGAAAAAGAAAAAGAAAAGGGTACGTACAGCGACAACGACTCTCTTGCGCTCGGGATCGCCGCTCTGGCTCTGGCCGTTGGTTCGCCTGTCGCGGGCGGCGGACGAGGCCGGGCTGCTCATCTGCCGGCGGCGGGCCAGCGAGGACTCGTATGGGTTTCCCGTGCGCGCGCCGTACCGGCCGCTACCTGGCAGGGGAAACATGCTGCTGCTGCTGCCGCCGCCGAGCAGGGACCGGCTCATGCTTGGCGAGGAGGAGCTGTGGGTGATGTTGGCGCCGCCGACGACGGGGTTGAAGCCCGCGGCGGGAAAGGACCAGGCGCCGGGGTAGCCGCCGGTATGAGGGGCGCTGCCGGCGTGCGCGGTGTTGGTGGTATGGTGGGCGTGACCCGACATGGTTGTGCGCGATGTCGATGGGGTTCGGGGGGGAGGAAGGCGGGGTGGGTTGGCCCGCGTGTGTATGGCCTCGTGTCTGCGAGACCGGGTCGATTTTGGGGTTTCGATGTTTGCTCCTCTAACCGATTCTGCAGCCCACAGAGAGACGGAAGGATGAAACGGGTAAGAAGGGCGGAAAGAGGCCTTGCTAAGAAGTAGCGCAGTATCAATCAAGCAGGTTCAAGATGAGAGAGGTAGTTGAGTATCGAGGAATGGAAGTGGGCAAGTAAGCTCTTGGTTAACAAAGAATGAAGTCTGGTTTCAGCAAAAGAAACAAGAACAAACTGGAGAAGAAGAATGTCGAGTTTGCGCTTTGTGAATGCTAGGCGCGTAGATGTCAGGTGAGAGAGTGTGAGCGAGTGTGTGTGTGTGTGTGTGTGTGTGTCTCTGTTGTTTCCAGAGAAGGCGATGGTATCCGGACGGAAGGGAAGGGCCGGCAGGGACCCGGGACTCTTATACTTTTTGTTCCTCCTTTGAGAGAATTGGGCGGATGTGAGGCTCCCACTGCTGTGTGTGTGTGTGTGCGCGTGTGTGTGGCGGCGTTGTTCCGATTTCAAGGCGACGGCAACGGCAACGGCTCAATGGGGGAAAGCAAGTAAGTGTGGCATTTTCCTGTGCCAACCGCTTTTTTGTTCTGTTTGGTTTGTCCCTCCACCTCGATCTCCGGCCCACCGCCCACTGACCACCCCCTTGCTGTGTAATTGAAGAAATAAATTAATGAAAAAATAAATAAATAAAAAAGAATAACTCAATCAGGACTTGGCCCTGGCGCTGGGCTGCTGATCGAGTTTGGCGTACAAGAGAGGGGAGGGGAGGGGGGAGCGTTGTGCCTTTCTCGCACTCTATCCACTTACACCGTCCGGCGGCGCGTATGTGCGCAACCCCAGACCCTGGTCGATGGATCTGTACAACCCTTTTCTTTCATTCATTCTTGCTGTCCCCTGGCGCTGTCTCTCGGTCCTTTGGGGGGGAAGGAGAGCCAAAAAAAAAAAAAAAAAAAAAGGGGGACGAGACAGGAGACGAATTTCTGCCCATGGTGTGTAGAAATTCACCCCGTTTGTTGTGGACGACTTACACGGCGGCGGCGGCGGCGATTCCAACGACGAGGGGTAACACGACAGGTCGAAGGGGCGGTGGGCGATGAAGTGAGTGCGTGCGTGAGAGAGATGGGCTCCAGAGAGCAAGAGTCGGAGAGGAGAGCCGCAGCGTTTGAACAAAGGAAAAAGAGAGACGCATGGCAGCCCTGTTTTCTTGCCACTTTGCGTCTCTTTTTGCCCTCTTCCGCAACACGCCCCTCCCCTTCGTTTCCCATTCTCGGCAACGCGGAATTACAGGGACGGTTCATGTTTCTCTTCTAAACCCGAGAGTATAAGCAGAATCTAATTGTCATGTTCAAAAGTTCTCTGAATTTCTGTAGGAATGTACTCCGTACAAGCCACACTTTTTTGCTCCCGCCTACCCCGGCGGCACTGGGTTGTTCCTGGTGCCTGTGCCTGCCGCCACCGGGAGCCGGATCTGGGTTTTACCCTTCCCCCTCCCCCTCCCCCTAAAGGCATTTCGCTTCTTCCCGCTGGCAAACAAGAAAAAACAAAAAAGCACAACTTGCGCCATTGTCTGTGATTGTGAAGAATGACCTACAACCTTGGGGGGTCCCGTAGTTGACCAATGGTATAACAACAATAGGAGCCAAAAATCCCCAGCTTTATTAACCCCAAAAGACCCAAGCTGCGGACCCCCTGGCGGGAAGGGAGCCGCAAACCCCGAATTCGACCAAGAACCCTTCACCCTCAAACAGCTAGCGGCGGCAGCTGCGCTCTTGGCCAGATTAAGTGCCAAAGTAAAAAAAAGCCAGATCAAGCCCTGTACAGGGGGGGGCAAAGAGGGGCCGGAGGCATATGGTCAGGGATTCGACATGTCGCCATCGCCTATACCGAAACGCCCGCGCCCGCCATGCACATCATTTTTTGTCACTCCAGCGCCGCCGCGTTACCGTCCCAGCCATCTGGCTGGGCGCGCTTCTCCGATCAAGATTTCCCAACGTCCCAGATTGATTGCAATGAGACCCTTTTTTATTTTTGGTTGCTTTCTGTCTTTCCCTTCCCCCCGTGTTGGTTGCTGGTTACGGCAACTTTTTTTTTTTTTTTACAAACTTATTCCCGCTGCCGAGACGACATGATGAGAATCAAGCAGCGACCAATGCGTTATCCGGTTTTGTTTTTTTGCTCTCTTCTCCCCCAGTCTGCCTTTTCGTTTGCGTAACCCTTGATCAAAGGCACCTGCTGAAGAATGGGCTAACCCCTGGCTTTCCGCGCTTCCCCGGTGATGAGATGGAGGGGGTCCCCTCTCATCTTTTTCCTTGTCCCCCCCACCAGCAACGCCCTCAGCATGCGCCACAGCCCAAAACCAAACGCTGCTTGCGAAGCGTTTCTTGCCCTCTGCCTGCCCTTGAAGCGACAGAAACAACACTGAGTCAGATGTAAAAAGAGACCGGTGCGTTTCCTTGCATAACCCATCGGCGGTCAAAAGAGGCCCCCTCTCCCCCCCCCCGCTCCTGATTGCTTTCATGCACGTAATGCCGTCTACGGGGACAAAAATGATTCACACACGAAGAAAAAGCTTCCCCCCCCCCCTGGCACTAACTAGCTGGGAATCGGAAGAAAAAAAATCCCCCAAAATCCCCCTTCCATCAGCAACAAGCAAGTAAGCATGGAAGAAAAAAGGCCCGTCAGCGACGTCTTCTGCAATTGTGATTGTGACATCAGCCGCAGTTGCTCAAAAAGCCCAAACAGCAAACACACCGCCGCCACGGAATGAGACAAGAAAAGTCCCCGGAACAAGAAGGGAAGGAATAAAATTATATAAAAATAAGCAAAATGTCAAATCTAGGTGCAGCAGCAGCAGCAGCCACAACTCAAACTTGCTCTCTTCCATTTCCAGTTCTTTTGGCCGTCGTCTTTTACACAACCCATTTTGCTTTCCCATCGCAGTATTTCGTATTTCTCAACCAACCCAAAAAGTCCAAGCTTTCTTTTCCTCCTCCTCCTCCTCCTCCTCCTCCCCCAATCACACTCACACTCACACGCACATGTTTTTCCTTTGTTCAGCCCTTTTTTTGTCAACGTTACACGGCCTTGACACCAGCACCAAGGTAGATTTGGACTGTACTCTGTAGAAAGCACACACAGATTGGCGCCCTTTCTCTCTCTCTCTCTCTCGTCAGCCACAAGCCACCACAAGTCACAGCCCAGCCTCTTCCTGTCCCCCCCCCCTCCCCCCATATGCTGCTCGAGATGCCTGCCGGACGGCGCGCAGAGCGGCTCCAGAGTTATTTCCAACAATGATTCAATATTCACTAACTACCTGTAGTTACGGATTACAGCAGCACGCGCGCCACCATGACAGCTCAACAGACAAGACCCCCCCCTCGACGGGTGCGAGGCCCTTCCCTTGCCACCCCTCCCCGTCTTGTCCTCCGTGTCACAGCGTCTAATTCTCGCTCTCAGATAGATTAATTCCTTGCACAAGAAAAAAAAAACCACTATACAGTACTCCGTATACAATGTTCTACCAACAGCCTTTCCGGATCCAAACTAGTCCAGTCCATACCGCTCTCTCCATCTCACAGCCAAACCCTGCCCACGCCTTGCATCATCACCGATGCGTGTGCCAATTTTTATTCTTCTCTTTCCCATACCGCCAGTGTGGTTCGGCGGCGGGAGAGGGGGTGTCGGGGCGGATTTTGCCTCTCGCCTCGTTTTCTTTGTTCCCTTTGCCTTGCAGCAAGTGTCACCGCCCCAAAAAAAAAAAAAAAAAAAAAAAGAACGCTTGATCGCAGGAACAAAGGCACGTCATTGCACCCAAGCTTCTTCATTCACCTGGGAAACCTCGTCATGTCGCCCCCAAGAGAAACGCAACGAGAGAAGAGAGAAAAAAAAGCCTTCGCCCGGAGGTCCAGCCGCCGCTGTCAACCTGTCAGGGATGGCAGCATGTCCCGTTGACCGACACGACACGCCGTGCCTGCCTGTGTATCGCTCCCAACATCCTATCTGCGGCGCGCGCCCAAGTCGTGAGCCGTGACGTGTCGTCTTCCCTTCGTCTCTTTTGCCTCTTCTACCCATTTTCTTTTCCACCCCTCTCTTCTTCTTCTTCGGCTGCATCTGTAACAACAGCCTTGCCTCCTTCACCGAGCGCAGTAGTGCGCCGACGACGCCTCACTCACTCCCTCCTCCCCCTCCTCCGCATCATGGCTTTTCTTCAAATCTCGCTCCCTTTCTCACTTCTGAAACCCCCATATCGCACAAGAAAGAACCCACACCATTTAAAAATACAACAAGGCCGAAAGGAAACACAACGACGCGCGATCCCTCCAGCCCAACCGACCACTGACAGGGCCGCACAATGGTCCGTCCTGCCACTAGCCGAGCTTTTTTACCTCGTACGCGACGAACAAGGCGTCCCCTTCATCTAGCGAACGTGCCGCCAGAGCGAGCCTTGCAGCAACAAATCGCTCCCGCCGCCCCGCGACCAATTTGGGTCGCCGCCTGCTTCTTTTGCTCAACCTTGCTACACTCTTTCCTGAACAGTCTGTACAATCTGTACAATCTGTACAATGCACAAGTCCTCAGCCACAGCCAACAAGACACATTCATTCACCGGCCCCTCACGACATTGTACATTGTCGCTCGCATCCTCGCCCCCGGCGCACATCTTCGCCCAGAGAGGACACCTGCCCGAAGAGCGATTGTGCGACTACACTACCATGGCCTCTCGTAAAGGTTTCAGCCTTGCAGCACCCAGCCAGCACCTTGCACCCAGCATCACCAACACACGTCTCAGCCGTGTCGACATCGACTCCACCGCCCATGGTCTCTTGACTTCTTTGTACCACGCTGCTTCATCCTCATCGCCTTCTCCCCCCCTCTCTCTATCTATCCCATGCAGAAAGGCATCTCGCCGTAGCTCCCCTTTCCCGAGCATGAAACAGCCCCATCCCAGCATCAACGAACCGTTTGCAGCCCACGCAATCCACCTCGATATGTCTCTTTCCCCCCAGCCATCGGGTAACTAACTCGTCTTCCATGTGGAAGCCACGACCGGCCCGCTCGTAATAGCTGCAATACTCTCATCAATGCCCATCCTCTTTTTCCAACCACAAAGACGCACGCCCTCCGTGGATGGGCCCTTTGTACCCTTCCTGTGCAACGCACAAAGGCAGCGGCCGCAGGCGCAAATCAAAGCCTTGAAGCCCAACGAAAATCGCACCTCGACCAAAGGCCCTCTTGCCTTCGGCGGGGTTACGCAGCATTGTACACCCAGATACACATCGCTACACATGACGCCGCGGCAGGCAATTGATTTAGTACACGCACCCAGTGGGGGCTTGGCTTCCCAGTAGCGCTCTTTCGGAAAGCCTCCGCGCCTTGAAGCCACAGAAGCACGGAATATCTGCATCTGACCCGTTGCTTTTAAGCTGAGTCATTGTGAACCTGATGCCGTGCACCCCCACGGTTTGGAAATAGCTCTATCTAAGCGCCCCGGTCCTTCATTGTCCCGTCACACAGTAAAGAGGCTCTCTTTGTCCCCAAGACGTTGCAGGTAGATTGTATCTTGTTCGACAGTGTCCAGCTGATTCGGTTGAGGGAATTAGGTCATGACAACTCTCGCCGAGATTGCCTATTGTAGTTTGGCCTATCTGCAACAGGAAATGATGTGCAGGTACACTCGTAAACCGCCACCGCGTCCTACCGCCGTCTATCGTCTCGACGTTTATCGTCTCGACGTCTATCCTGGTCCCGATCCCGGCCCTGGTAGCCTCTGCGGTCGTCGTCTCGACGTCTATCCTGGTCCCGATCCCGGCCGTTGTAGTCTCTGCCGTCTTCGTCTCTCCTACGCCCATTGCCGTCGCGTCCACTGGCCCGATCTCGGGGTCGGCCGTCTGGGCTACGGTCTTGCCTGCGCGGGCTTCGACTTCTGCTTGTTCGACGGTAGTCCATGTCCCGGTCTCGGCCTGCCCTGGGCTCACTCCGACGTGCTTCGTCGGCCTCCTCCCCGCCCGGACGACGCCCTGCTTCAGCTCCCACGCGCTCGTGACGGCCGCGCATTTCCTCATTGTCATAAACCATGCCGTAGCTCCTACCCGCCTGTCTATCGGCTTCCTTCCTGTACTGCCGGCGTTTTTCGAGCTCGTCCACGCCGCCCCATCCGCCGCGGGATGCATTGGCTCTACGCTTGTTGTTGGCGTTGTTTCGCCAGACATCGCTGATTCGGCTGACACTCTGTGAAAAGTCGACATGAATGCGGCGATCATCAATGAGGACACCCTGCATTTTAAAGTAAGCAGCTTCGCAGGATGCTTTTTCGTCATACTCGATAAAGGCATATTGAAGTGAGTCTTGTGTTTTAGCATCGCGGATAACTTCGCAGCTGAGAATCTTGCCAAAGCGTCCAAAGATGAGCTCAAGGTCCTCGTCGGCCGTCACGGGATTCAGCTTGGCTACGAAGAGAACATTCTCTGGTGGCCTGACCTCTGCAAACGGCAAGTCACCCATCATTTCCAGAGTGAGCGCCTGCGCATTTGCCTCGCGCGAGCGTCTCTTGCGCTCGAGCGTCTCTTCGTCGACGCCATCATCTTGGTGCAGCGCGGCCTCGTCAGCAATTCGCACCGTCTTAAGCTGCTGATCTGATGGTGGGGGGCTAGCGCTCGGTTCGCGGAGACCATTGGGGTCCGGGTACGGATCGTCGAGGATGACGGTGTGCTTTATGCGAATGTCGACCAGCGGGTAGCCCTTGTCATCGACAATGGCATTATTGATCTTTTCCAGAGCATCAAATCCCTCGACGACCTTGCCAAAGATGGCGGCCTTGCCGTCTAAAAAGTCTGTGTCCTCGCCGAGGGTGATGATGAACTGGGAGCCGGCCACGCGGATATCTGGGTCCGTCGTGGATGGGGCCGTTGCCATGCTGACGGTGCCGCGCTCGAGGTGCTTGAGCTTCGGGTGGAATAAGGCGGAAAAGGTGCGGTCGCGGGGGTCGCGGGATATGTTACCCCATATTGAGGAACCGCCATCGGAGGCTGTCGAGAGGGGGCCGAGGGGATCGCCAGTCTGGAAGGAAAAGTTCTTTTGGACGGAGTGGACGGGGGCAAAGTTGTAGTACTTGGTTTTGCAGAGTTTAAGGAAGCTGACTTGTTAATACTGCATACAATACGGTCATGTTGGAGGTTTGGCACTTACTTTTCGCAGAGCTTGGGCGCGTGCTCAACGAGCAGGTCGATGACAATGTCGCCAACGGTCGTCTCGAGGAGAACCGACATTGTGGCACTTTCGTGCGTCCTCTATTGTTTGCGGCGTTTCTAGGAAGGGTGTAGACTGGTCTCTCAAGCAGAAAACGCACAGGTGCATGGAATGGCTGGCGACGGAACTGGTGCCGCGACGAGCAAACAATGACTGGACGTAACAGAAGCCGTGGTATCGCGACGTCAGAGGATGGAGGACATGGGCCGAAGTTCAGCCATCACCTTTTTTTTTGGCGTGTTGCCATTTTCGGAAAGCTCATGGCCCCACCCGGTCGATGGCTCCACACCAGCAAACAAGGCGCCATCGAAACTGCTTGACTGGCTAGAAGCGAATTAACTAGTGAACTATTGTTTAGTAACTAGTAGTTGCCACCTAATAGTACCTATACATCGCGACAAGGTTTCAATTGCATTCCATAGGGCTGATCACTCTGTACCTTCTACTGTGTTCTTGAGAGAATTGGTTTAAAGGCTTATTGGTACGCAGGTGGTTTCTTATGGAGCAAAATGGTGACTTGGTCATTTAGCAGTCTACCTAGTTGCGGCTCGGCCTTGCTGTTGCAGTTACAACCGCGGCGTGAGGCCGGCCAGAATTATAAACAAAATAAAGGGTAATTTGGATCGTACTGATCCAGCTGAACGATGCCCGAACCAAGACAAGAAGAAGAAGAGAAAATGAAAGGATTTCGCTGTGCAAGTATTGTATGCCCAAGCTCTGTCACAGAGTGCATGGCAGATGTGTCCCAGTAACGCCGAATCGAGCAATGCATGAAAAGTACTAGTACAATTTTAGGGGCGGATAGTCATCCGTTGGCGAAGAAATGCCGAGTATTGTTTTGAGGGTATGGGTATTGATCATGGACGATTAATCTCGGCAGGGAGAGCAGCGACGGCGACGGCCAGAGCGCAGCTCCTTCTCGGCCTCCATGAGGCGTGTCTGCGTCCACATGCGTATGGAGCTGTCGGCGCGGACAATGTCGCAGTTGAGCATCTCGGTCAGGGCGCGCTTGATGCTCTCGTTGACGTCAAAGAGGCGGCGCTCCTCGGCGGAGATGGTCTGCAACGTCTCCTCGTCGGGGATGGTGTCGAGGACAGCGGAGCCGCGGCGGCCGTCGGCGGACCAGCCGGAGCAGCGCGCCTGGCCGTTGCGGGACCTCTGGCGCGGCGAACATCTCGTGACGTGATTCGCGAGCGAGGGCTCGGCGCGGTTAGGGGAGGTGTCGGGCGACGAGACGGTGGAGGCGGCGCTGCAGAGGGACGACTGGCGCGGACGAATCTGCTCGAGGTGGGTGCTGAGCTCAGCGTGCTGCTCTTGCAGAAGCAGGTACTTTTGCATGGCAAAAGTGTAGTTGTGAGGGCCGGCCATGGCAACGGCGTTGTGTGGGAAACTAGGCGTATGGAATTGGTGCGTGGAAGATGTGATGACAACCGTGACGGACCATCGGAGGCTTCTCGTTTGTAGGCGATTGGCAGAGGTAGGTAGAGGTGTTGACTTGTTGATAGAAGAAGTGAAGGATTGATGAGAGTTGGTAGACCTTGGGAAGCAAGGCTGTCGAGGAGAAGATAAATAACAAGTAGAGGGCAAGAACGGGTGAAAAAGGTAGAATTTGAGTTTGGTCAGAGGCGCGCCAGTGATTAAAACTGGTTGACTGGTCAGGAAACCGGTTGGGATATCCGGGGCGGGCGGGGAGTGTCACTAATTTCCCCCTGTAGACAGCACGCTGTGGCTGAGGATGCGGATAAGGGTGGTGGGCGCTTGGGGAAGAGATGGTAATGGTGACGTTTGTGATTGAGGCACGATCGGCAGTTTGCAAGACACGGGGTTGGTCTGGCAAGACGGATAAGAGATTTTTTGGCAACACGTGATACATGAATTGCACAAGTGGCGAGAGAAAAATTTTGGTTTCCCATGCCTTTGAATCTCGTCGCCTGCGTGCGCAGATGCAGGTCTTTTCTACCTACAGAACGCGAGAGGGTGTGGCCAGAAGAGGGGCGGGTTATTAGTACCTGTACAGGCTATGGCCTAATTAGATAGTGGCTGAAGCGCCAGTCGAAAAAGCACACACCTCAGAATGCAACTAATCACTGGGCCTAAGAACAAGGCTAAGATTCTGAAGTGTTAAAAAAAAAACAAGTGCAGGTCAGTGCAAGCAAAGTAGTTTGGAGGTTAGAGGTGTGGATGGAAAGCGTCCGTGTGAGTGGGCGTGCGACTGGTTGGTGAGAAGCTGAGAACTGAAGGACGGAGTACAGAATCCGTGCTTCCCAGTGGCCATAATGACAGTGTCATGAGCACAGACACAGATATTCTGGTAGTTTTCTTTTTTTTGTCTTTTTTTCTTTCTTCAAAAGGTTCGCTTGGGCAGGGCTGTCTTAATCGCCCTTGGCGTACTAGTAGCAACTGGCACGGAGCTGCCCTTGAACGGCGGTCAGAGTTGCTGGGATAGTGGTTGTCCAGTAGACGACACAGACGTCGGCCATGTGTTCCCCCGTGGATTACGTGCGTGCCGCACGAAGCACAAGTCGTGTTTGGCCGTAATCAAAAATCTGTCAGCGCAACAAAAGGACCATTTGGCATCCAATATCGTTATCCCAGTGACAAAATCTCCCCCCCAGGCGGGGCTGCACCAAGACGGCTGAGAATGACAGGTGGTGCGTTTTTGGCGCCCAAGTCCGCTGTAAACCCCCCTCCCTCAACCGCCTCTCCGGCAGCTGGGAGCTGGGAGCTGGGGGACCACACTGCCACAGTCGTTGCTTTTTTGTGCGCCCAAGACGGTCACCACCAGCTCGCATCACGATCGATGGAGGCAAGCGAGAAACAAGCACAACGAAAAAGGAAGAATGGCACACACCACCAAGCCATATTGTGGCGTGACACCAGCACCCCCGTCCTTGTCAGCGCCGTCCGCCCAAGCTTTCAATGCGCAGGACAACTGCCATTCGTGACGGCAAGGCCCGACGACGCAAACGAGGATGATATCAATCAATTGCCCGGGAGCAATTCGCATCGAAATGGGCCAATTTCAATTGCACGGCGACCAAGTTCAACAAGTTGCGATGCAAATTCCCCCCTGCTTCCGCTGGTATTAATAGCTGCTAGCTATCTCGCCCTGGTAATACGGAGTAGACCGTTAGTTACCAGTTTCATTGGTGATGGGCACAGCCAAAACGCAAGTACCGGTACTGACCCAACCCGCATTCCCACAACCCGCGCCGGCCGCCCAGACTCGGCCGCGGGCACCTCCATGGCTCTTGTTGCAGGGGTTCGGCGCCTGGCGAACGGTCTCGAACCTTTGGGGTTCCATCGACCATGTCCAAGAACAGCAGAAACGAGCAAAACGCACGCCCACCCAAAATCCTCTTTTCGTGCCGCCTGTCGTAATCCGTAATCAATACCACTGTACCGTTACCTAACTAACTAGTTAGCCCCGGGCTTCTGTGCAGCCGGCAGGAAAGGGGGCGATATTGGGCCAAAATTGGGGTAATAGTACACAGGCGACAGCCGCTTCTGAGGAGAAAACTTGTCCAATATCCAATCCGTCCCTGACACGAGGTGCGAGAATTTATGTAGAGAGCTGCATCACGCCTAGTTATCAGCAGCCGCCGGCCAGTGCTGCGTTGGTACCTGACCTTGGGGCCCGAGCTCTCGCCATAATACCTTAAATACTAAACGACAATGGGAAAGTTGATAGAGTATCGCCAATGGCAGATGCGGAAGTTATCCAAACGGTCCTTCTATCATGTTGCGCCACGCACACGCTCCATTGTCGTGGTGGTGTGTGGCGCTCTTTGCGAAACCAAGGCACATTGCCACTCGCTCGCTTCAAGTCTGACTGCTCGACAATGAGTACTGGACACAATGAGGCCATAAAAACGCCCATACGCCGCACTGCAGCTAATTCCAGCTAAAAGCCGCCTCCCGCTGTCACTAGCCAAGACAATCGAGAACAACGCGTGGCAGTGCTGCCAACTCCATCATTACGAAGAGGTTCCAGACACGGCGTCAACAATCCGGCAGAAAGGAAATGGAAACAGAGGGGATTTCTGGATGCTTCGGATTACCAACCACATGGTTTGCAGCTGTTGGTGATCCGCCCAACCTTGCAGTCATCTTCAGGAACTGGGATCCTGCATCCACCGATGGAACGATCGCGGCAACTGATCTTCTCCCGGCCTCAAGAGGTAACACACACCTCTCTTCATGCTTCGTTCCTCCCAGCAATTGATCGTCGTCGTCGTACGCTCGCCGCCGCCGCCGCGCTGCATCCAACGCACACGTGGTTGTCGTGCATTCACCGCCTCCTCCTCCTACCCAGCCCAGCGCCGTCCGTCAGGCTTGCATGCTTGCGCCAACGTTGCTGTTCTTCCAAACCTTGTGCTTGCAGGCGGCGTGCAGAGCGACTGCCGGCATGTTCACATGGCCACATTGGCAACACGGTATTCATCTTGTAAAAAGAAGAGACAAATGACAGCGCATTGCTTCGGCTTTCACGGCTCTTTTGCTTACAGTTTGCTGCAACGTCGGACGGACCCCGCACCGGACAACACGGGACGGCAGAGCATTGTCGCATCTCTCGAGTGGAAACGTTCCGCATCCCAGTACGGGTGCTACGGGTTTCCTCTACGTTTTCGCATTGATGGACTTGCACAGTGATCCTAGACCCCGTAAGCCACAGTCACAAACGCTCAAACCGCAACATGCGCTGTGCTTTTCTTTAAGTCGGCTCCGCAGGTGGGTTGGTCTGGTCAATCACCATCTCCTCCGTAGTGTCGTGGGCCAATCGTCAAGGCATTTGTATCATGCTACATTATTTATCTTATACGCCTGGATTTCCACCTGATCATTGTAAAATGGACCAGTTTGCTCCTCTCGCGGGGTCACGCTATAATGTAGATCCTCTACGGACAGCTGAATCGCCCGGCACGCATCCAGAAACACCTCAAATGTCGCATGATTGCGCTTCGTCGCCGCAATGTAGACCTCAACGCTCGGATACAGCGCGAAAATATCCACCAGTGTCGCCACCAGTGAATGTATCACGTTGTTGTCGTACGTAATGTCCGCGCCGAGCACCACGTCCACGGCACGGCCGCCGTTCCACCGCAGCTCCTCGCCCCCGACGAGCGCGTGCCCCCAGATGAGTTTCATGGCCGCGATTTGCGCCGACGCGTCCTGCAGGCCATTGAGGAAGAAGTTGTTCGGGAGGTTACCGAGGACCTCATCGGAGCCGTCCGACGCCACGACGTGCGAGGAGCCCAGGTGCCGCGCGCACAGGAGGGACAGGTAGCCGGTGCCGGTGCCGAGCTCCAGCACCCGCTTGCCGCGCACCAGGGCCGGCCGCTCGCACAAGAACTGGCCTAGGTGCAGCGCCGCCTCCCACGTCCGCAGGCCCGTGGTGCCACCGGCGGAAATAAGGGTGCGGTTCTCAAGCAGTGTCAATGTCGGCGGTGGCACGGCGGGCGGCAGCAGCGACAGCTTGTAGGTAACGTAGCATTTCTGCTGCGCCGCGTAAATCTCGCATGGCAGCGGCGTGGCGAGCAGCGTCGTCAGGGCCGACATGAGGTTATCAGAAAGCGCCTACGAGAGAAGAGGGAACGAGTATCAGACGCTGCTCTGTGTCTACGGATGCGTGGTTTGGCCAAGTCTGAAACTGTTGCTGTGCGGTGCGCCTGTGGTGGAAAGCAACTTACATACTGCTCCCAGTCGTCGATGCTGTTTTCAATGGCTGCTACCAGGGCCTTGAGCACGCGTAACCGATAGCGTTGTGGTGGCAGGTATGGTAGACTGTCGGCGAATGCTCTCTCATAGAGGGTCTCTTGTGCGTCAGGCAACTTGAGAAGTTCGGCCGGTGGCAGACTTGGCTCGGCTTCTAATTGCAGATACTGATAGCAGAATTTGTCCACAGAAGCCTGCCAGCGCGCCATGTCGACTCCATGAATCAAGAATCAAGCTGGTGTTTGTCTCAATTTTTGCTAGCAGGGGTGTCGTCGATGGTGGAGATCGTCACTGTTCAACACCCACCCTACTTTGAGGTTAAGGCGGGGCAAAAAGTTAAGAGATTCACGTGACTTGCCGCGAACTCTTAGGGTTGGACCCAGTTAAGCGACCGTGGGCGGGCCAAAAATTTGACAGAGGGCCTTGGGTGTGTGCGTGCGTGCGTGCGACGCCTGGTGCTAGCCCTCATATCCACGGTCTGTACATTGGCAACGCCTTTTCCTCTCCCTCACCACAACCCATCGACAATCAGCAACCATGGCGGACAACGACAGCCCCGTGACGCTTCGCACCCGCAAGTTCATCCGCAACCCTCTGCTGGGCCGTAAGCAGATGGTCGTGTGAGTTTTTACCCGCACCCCTGTTGCATGCCGGATTGTTGGGATGCCAGACCGCGGCGCGAACCAGGAGAAGAATTTTTCGGTACTCGAGATACGACGGCAACGGCCATGCGATATGTCGGAAACGATGAAGGCGAGAAGCCCGGACTTGGCATTGTCTTTGCGGCTGCATACGTGTTGATGTGACTGGCCAATCGGTCCATCAACAAAACTGTGGTTCGCAAGATGGACACCAATTCGACAGTAGGCCAACAACGGATATCGCATGCCGCATCACGCCAAGCATCGTCCCATCTCATCGAATCACTGAAATTCTTCTTCTATCGCGCCGGCCTGACGGCATCCTACACATGACGCATTTTGTGCGCGGCTGCTAACGTCTGGCCAGTGATATCCTCCACCCCGGCCGTGCTGGTATCTCCAAGGATGAGCTGTCCGAGAAGCTCGGCGGCATGTACAAGGCCCAGAAGGAGCAGATCTCCGTCTTTGGCCTCCGCAGCCAATACGGTGGTGGCAAGACCACCGGCTTCGCCCTGGTCTACGACTCCCCCGAGGCCATGCAGAAGTTCGAGCCCCGCTACCGCCTGATCCGTGTCGGCAAGGCCACCAAGCCTGAGCGTGCCTCCAAGCAGCAGCGTATGTGGAATTCCTTTCTTCGTTGGTCGCGGGTTATTTGGTGTCGGTCTCGAATCGTCTTTACCATACCCACTGGCTCGTTCTGGCAGGATGTGAGATGCTAACAACCCCGCAGGCAAGCAGCGCAAGAACCGTCTAAAGAAGCTCCGTGGTACGGCGAAGGTCAAGGGTGTCAAGGCCAAGAAGGACAAGAAATAAGCGCATTCTCTGTAACAAACCGGGATGCAAGAGGGCATGCGCCGTGTGCGTGCACACCGACGATGCGGTTCGGCTCCGTCCGACTGAGCAGCACCTCTCTGTTTCCTCCTCCGAAATTTTCTACCACTGGGGGAAGCGCCCTCTTGCAAGGAGGAGGGACTGGCGCTGGTACATTGTTTTCAGGTCTTTTGTGTGGAAATTTCTGGCCAAGTACCAAGGAGCAAAAAAACTTGTTGCTTTTTTTTTCCTTTGTCTTTTTTTAAACTCATCCATGTCGTGACGATTGGGGGGGAATAACAAAGAGAACGAGGAGCATGATGAGGAAGACGCAAAAAATCGGATAGAGAGTTGGAAGCAGCCTTTCTACCACTTCTCAATTCACTAGCATGAATCAAATGGTGTTTTGGGGGTTTCTGCCAAAAAAAAGTTTTAATTACCAATGGTTCCTGAAATGAGGTGTGAGATGATGCGTAACGCATAGCCGCGGAAGAGAGGCATATCGACTCTCAAGGGGGTCAAGTACCTCCCGTTCAGATCTACAGGCACGACCGCGGATATCGATGAAGAAGTCGGACATCATGGTCAAGAAGCCTCTGGTGCAGTACAGAGCCGCGAAGATGGCATGAGTGCAAAAATGTCAAATCAAATGTATTGCTATAGTTGGCAGTAAGGCGTAAATGCGCACTCGTAACGAATGGTGTGGTATCTCTGGTACATGTCCGGTCCCCGACATGAAATCCTCCCAAAACGCCTTATAAAAACAAACAGCTCTCTACTAAGAGCAAGTGCTAACCCGAGAAAAAACAAAACCCCGTCGTAATCATCATCACATGTCGTCGTCGTCGTCACCTCATTGGCGGTATGCAGTCCAGCTGTCGTTGCCAAAGAGCCGCGGTGTTGATACCAAAATATGCGCCGGAATGCCAAAAAAAAAAAAAATGAAAAAAAAAAGGAAAAAATAGGCGAGTGTCCTCCTTCACATCATGCCGACAGCAAAGAGGCCAGCCAGGGCGGCCACGACAGCCACGACGACGCGGGTATCCGTCGGGGGCCCCGGGGCGGCGGCGACGCCGCTGCCCTGCTTGGGCTGCTTGAGGAGGGGCGTGTGCCAGCCGCAGTGCTCGCGGCCGCTGGCAGCCGTCATGCAGGTGTAGTACGTCTCCTGGCGGAAGCCCTGGTTCTGCAGGGCGACGTCGTCGGGGACGGCCGAGGGCGCGGGCGTGACGAGCGGCGTGTACGGGCCGGACGGCTCCTGCGCGCGCTGGTTGAGGAGGCGGTCACGGTCCGGCGGTGCCACGTTGTGGAGGGTTGGCAGGGGCGCCGCGGAGCTGGCGATGACGGGGTGGACGACGACGAGCAGCAGGGCGAGCATGGCTGGCGATGTTGGTGACGGTACCATGGTGCTGTGCGCGGGCGCCAGTCTATGCGCGGCGGCTGCAGCAGGGAATGGCAGGGTTATTCCTTGGGTGGTATTTTGTGGAAACGTCTTTTTTTTTTAAACCCTGCGGCGGTGGTTGTGTCGGGGGACTGCGCAGACGACGGACGGGCTTGTTATAAAGACGGCATCAAGAAATGTGTCCGTGACGAGCAGACCAGGAGCGGGGAACAAAGTCAGCAAAGACGTTTTGGCCGTGACGAGGAGAGGATTTGGAACTGTTTGGCAAAAAACAAGGACAAAAAAAGCCGCCTTATTCCATCAGTGAACCACCCCTTGTATCGAAGCGGTGATTGATTTTCTCGTCGGCTCTCTACCTATCCGTGGGTAGAATGGGTGTGTAAAGTGAACCGCGGGGTTTCCCCACAGACCGCTAAAGTAGCACCCTTTTCTTGGATTCCAGAAAGCCCAGGATCGGCACGTCTCCTCGCGTCTGGACGCTCTAGTCGTCGCGTCAGAGTGTTTTATGCGGCGGGAGAAGGGTTGAAAGAGAAGGAAAGAATTTGGGGAGGTTTAAGAAAGAACAAGGAAAAACATCAAACAGATGGACTTGGGGAAACCAAATGTCCATAGTATTAGGCTTGGCTTTTTTTTAGGCCAAGCCTTTTCTACGGTGAGACAGGCACATCCCACCCAATAGCCTCGGGATGACAGGCTCTATTCCCTCACACCATGACCACGCTAAAACCAGGTAGTTAGGGTCATCGAGGCGGCTTTCTTTTTTTGCTCATGTGCCTAGAGCGTTTTCCTCTGTAACTTCACCGCATGGTACAACGCGCGCTGGTTCTTGGCAGGACCCTTCACTGTGTTGTCGCTTTGTACTTTGTACTCTGTACTCTTTACAACCAATGAATTTTATATACTTTAATGAGTCTGGCAAAGGTCAAGCAAAGTCTTGCCTTTTGCGCCAACGCCAAGGGGCCTCGTCCGTCCGTTTCCCTCAGCGCGTGTGCGCGGCGTCAACTTTACTTCCAGGTACCACCTCTTCGTTTTCAGAGCGCCAACAAGCCCCAAGTCATTGCTAGCACAAACGGCAGTAATAATTCACATTGTTTTACCAAACAGCTCAATAGTACGGATACACTAGACTATAACAACGCAGACCTTGTGACCGGGCGGCTGGACGGTTCCAGACCACCAAGACAGCCGTCGCGTGACAAGCCTCGCCCAACCACCCGCGCCGAGCGGTCAATGATGGGCTCTTTTTTGTGGGAAAAAGCCACACCCACAACCCGATCAGCCCTAGCCAGTGCATTCACTCTCCGTTGGCTGCTTCTCCGACAATTCAGCTCCGAGGTGCCAAGAAGGATGAGCTATTAGAGGGAGCCACCACGTTGAAGAAACAGGGGTCGTTCTGGTGAAACCCGCGCCTATCCTCCAGTCAGTGCCCACACGCATCAACCCTTTCTGGAACCTCACCCCTCACTGCAGCGAAATTGATCAGCATACTCAAAACACCATACATTTACTATACATCTGGTCTACTGTAGCAATGCGCCCAACTCGTAGAGACTGAAACTTTTTGCTCTGGGGTATATTCATCCTTGCGCATAAACACGACACCACACGACACCACCTCGCGCTTCCGTTTCACTGCCGCTCTCGGGACTGGCTGCGCAGCTTCGCCCGCTGCTTCAGACTCCCCTCGTCCTCCCCAAGCTGCACACTGGCACTCCGCCGCCTTGGCCCGTTCTTACGAGCTGCCGGTGGCGATGGCCGTCGCTGCACAGGACTAGAGCTCAGCGTAATCACCTGGCTGCCCTCTGGCAACACCCATCGGCTCTTCTTCGCCTTGGCCTGTGTACGCGGGCTGATGCGCACGGCCGGGGGTTTCGTTGCCGCCGCCGCCGCCGCCGTAGGCTGCGTCGCGTTGGGGAACAGATTCGGGGCCTCGCTGTCCGACGAGAAGCCGTCGTCGAGCCGCCGCATAGCTTCCTCATACTCCGCGTCGCTCGGCGCGGCTGCCGCCAGATTGGGCAGCGAGCTGGCCGATGCCGCTTCCAGGGACGGCCGCGACGACGAGGCCGTGATGAAGAGGTCTTCAAGCGAGTCAAACGGGCTGCTGTTCAGCAGCCCCGGATCGGCCGCTGCCGCTGCATCTACCGCGGCGTCGATGAGCGTCTCTGGGACCACCGCGTCATCATACCACGCCATCGAGTCGCCCACCTCCATGTCCATATTGCTGTCCTCGTCACCATCGTTGGCATTCTGAGCCAGCGAGGACGGCACAACCGTAGTAGCATCGCCATTGTAGGCAGCCGCAGGCTCCGTCTCCGTCCTCTTCTTCGTCCCCTTCGTCGCCATCGGCTTGGGTGGCGCTTCGTCCTGGGCGTGTGCTGTCGTGTCGGCCTCGTTGTCTACACTCGGCTTCCCGGAGAGATTTCCTGTTGCCACCTTGTCAGCAGCAGCTTCTTGTCGTGGCCGGCACTCTCCGGGAGACCCAGGCGCCCCAAACACGCGTCCCGTGTCCAGGCTGTCGCTCGCCGCGCTCATCAGTCCGTCATCTGCCAGGGGCAGCTCGAAGTGATGCGGGCGCTGCGCCGAGTGGATTGACGCCGAGTAGGCACCATCTGCGCTCGCGTGGGTTTCGGCGCGCGATTGCTGCGTCTCCGCTGGGCCCGTCAAGACATGCCCGCTATTCACTGCGCTTACCTCTCCTATCGCGTCAGTGCCGTTTGTGGCCTCAACGAACCCTAATGGTGCTGATCCGGGAATCAGTCGTGGCTCCATCATCTCGAACCAGGTGACAGTCCGATGTCCATCGTCTGCTTCGCCATCTTCCTCATCGTCAAGCATCGGTGCTTCAAATTTTTCGTAGACTCGTTGCCCTGTGTGCTCGTCGTAGACATACTCGTTCGTTTCCCGGTCACGCTTCGCCAAAAGTACTTTGATCTTGTCTTTGTTGGATCCCGCGAGTACAACGCCCGTGAACGAGGCCAGTTGAGGCTGCCAGCTGGTCGCTTTTGACATGGATAACTGCTTCCAGGTGATGAGTTGACCAGGAGTCACAGTCTTCTGTTCCAGTGACACTAGCGATGTGAGATCAGAAGGCAGGGGGGGCAAGTCTTCCACAGCTTCGGCATCGTTGATGTGACCGTTTGGCAGTATCGAGGTGTCGTCGGCATGGACTGTCTTCTCTTCAACCTTGTTCTTTTTATTCGAGATCGTCTTCGCTGGCGTTCCAGATACCAGCGAGTCGTCCTCGTAGTCGTCGTACTGTTGTGATTGGCGCTTGCGCTTGCGCATCGACGTGTATTGCTGCTGCGGATCCCAACGCTGCACAAATGGAAACGGCGGCTCACTCAGTACAATGTCATTGTGACAGCATTCAACTGCACGGTAGTTAATCTTTTCTCGCCAACTGTTGTCCTTCATAGTGGTATCTGGCTGCGCTGGCTCTTGTACTTCTTCCACCAGTCGTTTGTTAGTCAGAGGCTTGACACCCTTCATTAAAGCTTGCTTGAGTTTCTCCTCGTCTGCTTTGCTTTTCGGCGCTTTCAGACCAAGAGCACCGAACAGTAATCTCTTACTAGCCCCCGTGTTCAGATTTAGTCTTCTTGTTGAGGGGCTGGCGGATTCGCCGTTTGTCTGTGGTACCTGGACGCCATTTGTCGCCGGAGTTGGCGCTTTGTCAGCCAGCTCATTGGCCGACGGTGCCGAAATCAAAGACTCTGTAATTGCGGGCTGCGAGGGCTCGCTGGCGAGCGAGCGAAGAAGCGCTGTCTTGCGGGCTTCGAGGATAGCCATGATGTCGTCCGGCGTAGAGTCCAGTAATGCCTCCGACCCGCTGGCTGAATTTCGCTTCTGCTTGCTGCGCCTCCTTCTTTCGTTTCGCTTTTGTGTCCTGCTAAGACCGCACCCAGGGTCGACTGCAGGCACAGGTACAGTCACCGGTAGCGTGGGCCGTGTTACAACCTTGGAGAGTGTCTGTATCCTTATCCTCGACGTAGAAATTTCCGTTGGCCCAGTGTCAGATTCATCTGACGAGCTAGAGTCGCTATCTGACGATTCAGATTCAGATTCGCTGTTCACAAAAGTCTGGGCAGGATTTCGCGACTTGGCCATAGATATTTCGTCTTGCGAGTCAGAATCAGAACTTGAATCAGAGTAAGAATCGGAGTCCAAAAACGTGGCCGCAGCATGTCGATGGGGAGCACCACCTGAGGAGTCTGAATCCGAGTCCGAGTCGCTGGAACTGTCACTGGAACTGTTGCTCTCGTTGTCCGAGCCGACATCAACGTCGAGAATACCTAGACCAACAACCTTGCCGCTTTCATTCAAGTTTGGATCCTCTCCGACGTCATCCTCCCCTTGACTCTCCACGACCTCTATAAGACGTCGGCCTGCAGGTGGCTGCACAGGCAAGTCTTGGCCAATCGATTTCAGTCGCGCAACAACAGGTGTGTTCGGTGGTCGTGAGGCCGTCAGAACCGAGTTCATCATCTCGTCAAAGCTAAGTGTCGGCCCATACGACTGCGCCAGAGTTTTATAAGCATCCTGTACGTCCTGGTTCTGTCGACGCAGCTCTTGCTGGATGATGAAGGAAGGAAGGTTGGGAAACGCCATGCGCAGCGCCGCCATAGAGTCCAGCATAGGCAGCAGGCCGAATCCCACGTCCTCATTGTCGCCATTGTCGCTCGATGCCTCGGAAATATCGCGCCTGTCCTGCTTCAGAAGCTCCAGTTCTTGCAGCAGGTCGTCGTCGCCCTGCTCGTCCTCAAACGAGGAGCCACTAGCGTGCTCTGCATCGTCGGCTTCCAGCTCCTCGTTGGAGTCCCAGTCTGCGTCAAATTCGGATCCCGCATTCGAGTCGTCGTCTTCATCTTCATCGCCGTATGTGATGCGCGCCCGTTTTCGCGGCGGTAGCTCGAGAGCTGGGCGGTCCCCGGGTAAATGAAGCCAGGGCCTACCAAAGGCGATGCCGTCAACCAGGTGCTTGCCGCCGTTGGAAATTTGATGTCGTCCGCTTCGTCGTCGTCTCTTGAGGTCGTCGCTCAAGAGTGGTCGAATTCTACCTCGAGAGATTAGCTTCGTCGTCGTTTTGTCTGACACTCCGCACTTACAAAACTTGGTCTTCATCCTTGAGGATGCGCGACACGAGCTGAAAGTGCAGGCACTCAAAGCTGGCGCTGTTGCTGCCGTCGCCCAGCTCTACGGCGTAGTCCTCAAGGCCCCATTCGCCGCCTTCGAGGGGCACGACTTCGTTGACCTGACCAAGCAGCTTGGCGATGGTTAAGTCATCCGACGGCGAGCAAGGCCACACGAGCTTCACGTCCGGGACGGTGTGCCTGCGAATAACCAGCCGCAGCCGGATATCGTCAAATGACATCGTAATCCGCGTCCGGTTTCAGTATTTCATCCTAGTAAGTGTAGTTTAGTTTGAAAAGGGGACATGGCGGGTGCCTTAGAAAAAAAGGTCTACACAAGATAAAATGGTTCAAGGCGCCGCAGAGCCCACGACCAGCGAAATTTCTAGGTGGGGCGCGTCGTAGCGGCGCATCAGGTGGCCTGTGGACGCGATGCACCAGCCTAGCTAAATCACACGACCAGTTGCAGCACAATGATAGGGGCAAGTTGACGCATGAAAATGGCGTCGTTGTACCATTTCTCTGCCTTGTCTTGCTTCGCTTCAAGCCCCAGATATTGACTGGTATTTATATGTAATTTCGTTATATGGTCGCGCGAGCTCGCTGCTGTAATACGAATCCAAGTTTGACTCGAAATCAACCCCTTTAAAAACGCCATATATGTGCAATGCTGTTGTCCATGTCCAATCATGTCAGTCATTTTGTTAGTGTGGCATCCCTCCCATGTCCAACATATGTCCCATTCGCTCAATCTGAGGCGAGCTTGTTAGTCTGTGATGCTACAGTTAAATAGCGTGGTGCATTGAGCTTACCTTTGTCTTCAGATATCCCTCCACTTCTTCGCTTCGGAAACCGCCTTTGCCACGCCACGAGAGTGGCACCATCGCCACTCTCTCCTTGACAACCACCTCCCTGTTAGGTCCTTCAACGGCACGAATCTTATCGGGGTTGTTCGTCAGCAACCGCACACTGTCTTCGCCGAGATCCAGCAGCATGGCCGTGGCCAGTCCGTAGCTGCGGGCATCAGCAGGGTGGCGGAGGAGCAGATTTGCCTCGACGGTATCGGAACCCAGGTCCTGCAGGTTGTACGCCTTGAGTTTCTCGCCCAGGCCAATGCCGCGGCCTTCTTGGCGCAAGTAAATAATGATTCCGCCGCTTGCATTATCGGGCAGGCCCATCAGGCGGGCAGCCTCGTCGAGCTGCTCCCCGCAGTCGCATCGCGCAGACCAAGCCGTCTCGCCGGTATAACATTCGGAGTGAATTCGGACCAACGGGGGCTCCGCGGCCTTTGTGGTTGCGGGCTCCGGTACTGGTGTGCTGGGCTCGCTGCTACCCATGCCGCTCGTAGTGCGGCCGGGAAACAGACGGCCGGTGTAGGCGCCGCGAATCATGCGGTCCATTTCCGTCTCACCCTCGCGCGGCGCATCCAAGCTCTTGCTGCGGATATGCTTGCCGAATACAATAGCAAGGTGTTCCTTCTTGTCGACGTTGTTGGTGTAGAGATGCAGAAACATCTCGGTACCATTGACGGTCGGGATGCGCGCGCGAACGAGGCATTGCACCTCGGGCAGTTTCTCGAGCAGACGGGGCTTCTTGGAGCCGCAACCGCCCGAAGGGATAGAGCTGTCAACTGGGACGCTTCGAGGTGCTCGGCTCTTGGGCGTCTGTGTGCCGGGGGTGGCCGGAGGTGTGAATGCCGGCGACAAGAGGGACGGTGGCGGGGGTTGCGACGAGGGCGTGTCGGCGCCAGCGGGGGAGAGCGACAGGTCGTCGACCGGAGCGGTGGCGCCTTTGATATACTGGGCGCCGGCATCGACAGGCGCAGTGCGCGGCGAGTAGAATGCCGGCAGCTGATGGGTCTCAGTCAAGCCGTTGCTTGTGGGAGAGGGCATGGTGGCGGAGGGGTGCGGATAGCCACAATGGCATCAATGGCAGCAAACAAGCGTGAGCAGAACAATGGCAGCGAGGTCTCTAGATTGGCAAGACGGGTCGGGAAGGATTGGACAGTCGTCGCCAGTAGTCATATGAAGAAAGGGAATGAGATGAAGAGAATAGGAAACAAGGGTCGGTGCCACTGGTGCAATGGATTTTGGATTTAGTAGCCGCATGCATCTGACCAAACCTTAGCAATCGGCCGCCCATCAGCCAGCGCATTTTGGTAGGCATTAGTCATGTGCATTTCCACTAAGTTAGGTACTTACTCGGCCGCACCAACCGGTTGGCTTCGTAGAACCTCGGCGAACTGTGGGGGCGGGGCTTGGAATGTCCGTCTCGTCTGCCGTTACCGTTTGAAGACATAGTATTTGCACTTGCGGAAGCGGCTACGACAGTAATTCCTCGGTGAAGCGGGCTATTGCTGATGAGGCTGGTGGTACATTTAACAATGGCGATGCTCCCTTCTTCGCCTGCGCTCAACAGCCAAACTCTCAAACATCTCACCAAGTATCACTTTGCACCACCCTCTTCAGCATCCGCCCGTGCGCGCTTTGCGCACATTTCTGCCACAGCACGGCCAAATTTACACCAATGCATTGAGCCAGTGTTCTGGGTACTCGAGTTCAACGTGTATGCGGGCGGGCCGAACCCTGGTATCTGATCTGCCAGCGACTCCCTGCCACCATGCACCCGTGACTGAAACGGCAATTACTAATGCGACAAACAAGTTGAGCAATCTGATCCGGCTGTTGCATGTTCACACCTAGGGCCATTTCACCAAGTTGCGGTACCCCCCAGCAAACGGAAAGCTATCACGGCCAAACAATGAATGCCCTTGTGAAGTCTCGCGTGTAGCTCCCTGATTTGCGATGAAGGTGGTCCTGGTTGGGAGGTCCGTGTAAGTACACGAATATTAGGTATGCAAGAGATGAGGTAAACTCGAGACGCCGAGCAGCCAAGGTTAGCGTCATACAAAGTGATGCAGGAGGCCTCAAGATGCGGCCGTCATTCGCAGCTGGTATTTGTGGACCGAAAAACCCCAAGAAGAAGAAATGACCACTTTCAGATCTCCCAACTGGTAGAAAAAATCCACACAAGACTGGTAGTTTCGCGAGAGAATTACCGATAATCGACGGTTCCGAATGTAGGGTATCTGAGGCCATCTCCAGGGTCTAATAAGTAAATTGTAACTAGTTACGCCCCACCCAAGCAATCGATAACGAAACCGCAAAAAATTTACCAGCTGCTTGAAGACGGATTGAAGATTGCACCTCACATTTTCAACCTGCAACCACAGCACCTCGCCACAATTAGTTTTGCCACTATGCCGGCCGCGGCCTCACCGGAGCCTGTCACACCGAAGGCAGACAAAAAGGCCAAAAAATCCCACAAGTCGGACAAGAAGCGCTCGCGCGAAGAGGACGCCGCTGTCGATCCCGAGGAGCGGAAGCATAAAAAGTCCAAGAGCGTCTCGGCCGATGCTAGCAACGAACACGAAGATGTAGCCGGCAAGAAGGAAAAGAAAAAGAAAAAGAGCAAGCAAGACAGCACAGTGGATGGAGATAAGGCCGAGCAGAAGAAATCCAAAAAGAAGCATGTTGACAGTGAGAAAAAGTCGGAACGCAAAAAGAAAAAGTCCAAAACGGACAGCGACGACGTCGTTGTCATAGTCACGGATGCCGAGGATGGCATGGCACAATCGCAACTGGAAATTGTATCTGCTCAAGCAGCCGATGATTTCATGGACCTTGACGAGCCTGCTACCAACTACATATCTAATATATACCAACCCCCCGACATCCCCGCCGAGCCGCAATTCCCCTTTTTTTCGCAAACAGTCTCGCTTTACGAACCCATATACCCCATCGGATGGGCCCAGCCCGTCACCAACTGCGAGTATCACTACCTGCGCCACCTGCAGAACAAGTACGTGCCCTCGCTGCGGGGCGTTCTCATGAACTACAAGAATGTGACGCTCGGCGACGAACCCGGCCGAGTGGGCGCCGCCACCAACGACGAGGAGGAGACGACGCTCAAGTCGCAGCGCGAGTTTGGTGTGGGATTTGGCTGGATCACCGCCGACGTGGACCTGTTTGTGCCAAGCCGCGGCGCATGGATGGAAGGTAGCGTTAACCTGCAAACCGAGGGCCACATTGGCGTGGTATGCTTTGGCAAGTTCAATGCCTCTATCGAGGCACGCCGGTTACCCCCGTCGTGGAAGTGGGTGTCTAACGAGGACCCCGAGGCCGAGGGCATGGAGGAGACGGCGTCTATTGTCGCGCCCGACGAACATGGCGTCGTGCATCAGATTCACAGTACTGGCTTCTGGGTTGACGCTCATGGCGACAAGGTCAAGGGCAAGATCCGCTTTCGAATACGCAACTTTGACGTTGGTGTGAGTGGCGAGACAACGTACTTGAGTCTCGAGGGTACCATGCTCGACAAGGCCAGCGAGAAGACGCTGGTGCAGCAGGAGGGGCACGCCCTCAAGATGCGCCGCAACACCAAGACAAATCGCCGTCTCGAGCGCCGCCGTGCTCCCGAGTTCAGTATGACGCGCTTCTTCTCCGAAGAGGAGAAGCAAGCACATGAGAAGCGAGAAGCTGCCAAGGCCGCAGCGCAGGCAGAACGGGCGGCTGCGGCGGCTGAAGAGGAGACTGCAGCAGCAACATCTGAAGGAACAAAGATTGTGTTTGACGAATAAATATACGACGCGATCAATGAGAAGGACATCATCTCTTGTATAAAGAAGGACTTGGGTCAGTTGTATTTTTTTTTTTTGCTTTTGAATCAAAGAGATGTAAAGACATGTTCGAAGCGAACTGCTCTGGATGGAAGTTTTGAACTATTCCGTACCAGGAAAGGACAGGCATAAAAAAGCAATCAAAATATTATACATCAATCTCGGATGCCTAAGTGACATGTTCTGTGAGACCCGGTTTCCGACGTGAGTGACAAATGAAATGGCTAAAAAGCAAGATGTACGTAGGCATAGTGTGAGAGTGCATTTAGGCAGATGCCTTGACCATAGGCTCCCACGGCCGCTCCATGTCCCAGAGATAGACTTCGCCGTCGGGGTTGTCTCCCAGACTCTTGACAAGAATATGTCCCAGGACAGGAAGAGCGGAAAACGCAAGGGCATGGAGTGGTGATGTACACGGCTGCTCGCCCCAGAACGCATCGAGCTGTGCAGCAGCGGGCTCCTCCTGCGCGCAAAGCACGTCAACTTTGGTGGCAAAAGCCTCTTCATCCGAGGAGTGGTCATTTGCGATGATTTGGAAGCGAACACCCTGAATATCGATGGTGATGCACTGCACCGAGCTGGGGAAGCCGTGGGTGTAGCCGCTGGTGAGGACCCACGAATAGTCGCGCTGGTCGCCGGCGCAGTCCCAGTCGTACCAGACCTGCGTGCCCGTCTCGGAGAAGTCGTCGAGCGTGAGACGGGACAGGTCATCGAAGCCGACGGAGCAGTGCTGCGGGGCGACGCCGTCCAGCTTCGGGAGGACAATGTCGCAGTGGCGGGCATCGGTGCCGAGGACGAAGCGGCCGTGGCGTCGGGGCGGTTGCGTGGTAAAGGTGAGGGCGAGGGCGTGCCGTGGCGGGCCGCTGGCGAGGAGGCTGGTTCTGATGCGGGAGGAGAGAAACGCGGAATCGGCGCAGGGGACAAGACGGGAGGCGTTCTCGGCCATGTAGACGGCCTTTTCGGCGGCCGGGCAGTTGGGTGCCGGGACCAGCCAGGCGATGATGTCTTGTGAGGGCGTCATGATGGGATTATTAAAAAGTATAGGTAGATGATATAAAAGGATTCAAAATGGGGTATAGTTGAAAGAATGTTGAATGCAGATCGGAAAAAGAAGAAGCGAAGAATTCAGTCCGGTAAAGAATGGCCGAGTGACGCTGGGAGCTGTGGATGAGCGTCTCTCAAAAGTGGTGGAGGAGGAGATTGGAGGGCGAGGAGAGAGGATTTTCGAGATGTGGTCAAAATACAATAGTGACGAAAGGTGTGCAGTAAATCTACAGGTAATGAATGTCATCTTTATATATCCAAGCAGACGTGGTTCATCGTCGGTCAACTAGTAATTTGTGGCATGAACAACAGGGTTCTTGTTGCGTAGGACAACCACGGTGGCGCGCATCGAGAATCCTTGTGGGACACGCTTTCTGACGTGCCGACCGCGACCGCGTTTCATGGAGCATGCGACACGGGTCAGGAACAAGAACGACCGCGTCGTCTCGTCCCGTGTGTTCAAGGATGTGGCCGTGAATCCGCCAACCGGGGGCGCCAGCAGAACGCTCACGATTCTTCCACGGAGCGCTGTGGGCCAATCGTTTAGACCCAGGTTGGGCTAAACTCGGAAATTTGGGTACGACGGCGTCAACCTAGCCCCACGATGGGCAAAGGACATGATGAGCTGGCGCTGCAGAATGCCATGTATATCAGCGGTGCCAGACGCTGCGGTTGCGTCGTCGTGGATTTTTCTTGATGGCGGTGGGTGCGTGGTGGCGGCTGACTACTGGGCAGGAACACTGGACAGAGGTATGAATGAGTCACTCACAAATGCGGTCTGCGAGCACCCGTGAGCAGCGAGGAAAGGAAAAAAAATAACCGAATCAAGACGGCCATTGGATCTGCTTCGGCAGATGTGCGTGAGGCCGCAGAACGTTTTGAGAGGAACACTTGTCGCAGCATGACGAGTATCACGAGTGACAAGAGGTGGCTGGACCTGCCACGAACGGATGAAACATGGTCGAGTATGAGTCTTGGAGCCTTTGTCAACGTCAACATCTTAAATTTTCTCCTCCATCGTTCTTGCTTCTTATTGTTATTGCCAGTCGTCCATGGGAATATTCAGGTTGTTGAAGCAGTGATTCTTGGCAATGCGCTTCCACTGACTGGCCGGTTTCTGCCTCAGGACCCCACATCTATGCCAGCCCATTGGCCGAACTTTGTCCGCCAAACAGCGACTCAAGAGCTCTCAATCCAACGGCAATTTATCCCCACGACGACAATTCCGCTCCTGTGCCGGCCTCGACGATCAAGCAGGCGACTCAATTGACCCACGACCATCATGGCGACCGAGACAGCTTCCGATGCGCGTCGTACGTATCCCTTCCCAAACTCGACAACCGCCCCGACGGGATGGGCTTTCTTGACGGAACCCGGACTTGAGACTAATGCAGAACATTGCAGAAGCAACCCGCGAGGAGATGAGCGAGGCTCGCCTCCCTCACGCCTACAGAGATAGCTGCGCCCACCTCCTGATTCCCCTGAACAGGTGCCGCAAATCGACGTGGTACGCCCCGTGGAAGTGCGAGGTAAGACGACGAACCGCAAGCGTGCAATGATGGAGACCTGTGACGAGCGATGCTGACTGTATGTTTTCGCTAGGACGAGAGACATAGCTACGAAAAGTGCCAGTACGTCGAGTTCAAGAAGCGAGTCGCCAAGATGGACGAGCTGCGAGAGTCCAAGGAAGGCGCCCGCAGCAACTGAGCGACTCGAACAGAGCGGGTGCTGTGATGGGGAGGGACGACGACTACGGATTGTACATATACCTGTGTTAAAATGGGCAGGAAATAGAAGAAATCTTGCACGCAGTTGTTTGGGCGTTATGCTTGGGTGTGATGCGTTGGGGAATATGTGCCGGAAAACGTGCAAGAGCAACTGACCGAGCTACAGGATCGAGCGCGCTTTACAACGGGGAAAAATTGTCCATCTAGCGGAATCATATCTCGAGACAGCGACACCATGCCGCGGCGTTACTGACATGATATCCACGAACCCGGAAACACCTACAATGCGTCAAAGAACAGCGCTTCCAGAACTACGACTGCTGGTATACATCGACAGACTCAACATTGCATAAACGGGCCTGGAGGAATTCATGATTCGCTATATTTTATATACATATTCCAAACGCCGCCACCAAGTCGCTCAATTCGACGACCTCAGAAAATCGAGTTATCAGCACAGGTAAAAGAGCCCTCAAGTTTGCCGGGCGTGTTGTAAACGTCTAGCAGACCCTCGACAGACGCCCACATGCCGACGCCATTCATAAACAGCGACTGGAGGATAAGCAGGGCGTTGACAATGGCTAGGGGAATATTCTTGCGGGCAAACTTTTCCTGCCAGTTACGATGATACCAGAAAACGCCGCTGACGCCGAATGTGAACCATGCCACAAAGGTCGCCGAGGAAATGGACACGATCGAGTCAAAGATGGGAATGGCGCTGGCCAGGACAAAGGCAAGAACCCAAAACAGACTGGCGCTGCCAACCCAGAGCCCCCACGAGCGTAGCGAGTTTTCTGTGGCTCGGTGCGTCGTCTTGGTGGCGCGCAGGACAACGACGTATATGTACTTGACGGCAGTATGACCAAAGACCATACCCGTGGATAGAATCGCAGGCAGTGCAATGGCATAGGCGACCTTGGCAGGGATATCGGGGGCGGAGCCGAGGGCGGGCGAACGCACTGTCTGACCGGAGAGAGCATAAATGGTCACCGCGGTGAGGACGTATAGGAGCACGGAGAAGACTTGCAGAATCGTGAGGGCCTTGGGAAAGTCGCGGGAAGGATTCTTCATCTCGGCCATGTACGAGACGAACCCAACATTGCCAGCATACGCATAGCACACCTTGAGGCATGCGGTAACGCCTTCACGGAAGCTGGGGTGACCGATGATGACCACTTCCTTGGCCCAGCCTTGCACCTCGCCACGGGGGTGGCCCGCTACGCCAAGGCTGATGATGACGATGAAGACGGCCACGATGATGCTGATTGTTGCGGGCAAACCCGCCTGAGCGACAAACTTGAATGTGCGCGGCAGACACAGGACCCAGCAACAAAAGGCACCAGCGGCGGCAAAAGCGACGGTGCAGGTCGAGTGGTTGGACAGCGTGTTGAAGGCAATCGAGAGGGTAACGGTGGCGGAGCCGCACGTCATCATGACCTTGAACAGCAGACCGACGCCAAAGATGAGCTCGAGAGGGCGGCCGCCGACAATGCGTGCCATGTCGACCATGTTGACAACGTGGGGGTGCGCGCGGTAGAATTGCAGCAGCTCGTAGGCCGTGTACCAGGACACGACGCCGAGCCCGACAATGGCGACGAGGCCGGGCACGAGACCCAGCGTCTTGAGAATGGCGGGCAGCGTGAGGATACCGAGGCCGACCTGGTTGGTGGCCAGGACGAGCGTCGTGTCCCACATGCCCAGGGTGCGGTAGGTCTTGCCGCCGCCAAAGAGGTTGTCATCGTCGCCGGGGTGCGCATCGCCTACGACGCCCACTTGCGGCGTCTTGGAGGCATCGTCTTCGAAGCTCGACCTTTCCTGGATCTTTTCTGGATCGGCGACGGTGGTATCGACCCCGGCGCGCGGTTTCTCGATCATGTCTTGGTTGTTGGTCATGGTTGCTGTCACAGTCGTGGTCTGAAGCGAGGAAGTGTGAAGCACCCAGCAGACGACAGGAAGAAGGAGGAGAGAAGAGAAAGTAAGCTTGGAGAATGCACGACTACAGGAGGTATAAAAGGTTTGTGAAAATAATAGAGGGCTCCAGCAAAAAAAATAAAAAAATGAAAACTCTGGGGGCGGGTAGCTTCTGCTAGGAGGAGGGGGTTCGTCAACTCTCGCTCCTCCGACGTCAGCCGATTCTGGCCAAGAAAAGTAGAAGCAGAAAAGCGCCTTCTGCCAAGGGTCCTTGCAGCAAATGAGGAAAGATTGAGCGCAATGCACCAGAACAAGTCGACGCAAGGCAAGATGGTTCCACGACGCCCCAGACGCAAGATTCAAGGGCCGCGTTGCATCAGATAGGAACCCGTGGGGTTCCCGATTATCTACGCTTCATTGGCTCCTTTCAAAACGATATCTGGGGGAGCCCTGGGAAGGTGAAGAGATTTTTCTCTCCATTTCACGCCGTCATTCATTATCCAACGGAGTAACATGCCTTGCTGGGTCTTGGCAAGCAGAAAGAGTCAGGACTAGAATCCACAAGCCAGCCGCTAATTGCTCAAGATCCCGGACTAGGTGAGCTTGAAAAAGGCTCGGCGTATGTATGTAGTTGCGGCATGCAATTTGACAGCTCAGCTTTCCTTTTTTCCTCTTTTGGTGGCGTTTTTGGTTTATTCCCTTTGGCTTTCCGAAGGCGCCGCCACTTTGCGCCCCTCCCGATCGCGCGACGCCGGCTACTGCTCCGGCTTTCTTAGCTGCATCTTTGTCCCTTTTGAAGGCTGCTAGTTATTTGCATTTCCCTCATAACTACATAGAGTTTTCTTGTCCACTTCAGCCTCTCTCTCGGCACTCCCCACACTTGTTCAGGGTTGATGATGGGAACTTGGGGGCCCGTGCCTGGTGTATTTACCCCAGTCCCCAGAGTATGGGGAGTCTTATTTTCCACCGCTGTTGCATCTTGTTTTACGGAGTAACTACACATCTGCGGCAGGCAGTGGTTGCTTTTTCTTTTTGCAGCCGAGGGAAGCAAAAATTTGTTTCTGTAAATAAATTCGGGATTTTCACTGGGTTGACCGCCCAAGTTGTCGACATGGTGAGGTTTGCAGTGGGTTATGCTCCCATAGAACGTGGGCCGGCCCACTGGCCAGAAAATAGCGATAAAAGAGACAATTATTGGACGGCTGCTTCCGTCGGGACAAAGGCGGCTCGCGAGCGATGGGTAGGCTGCTTTGTTGAGAGGTGTGTGTGACGGGATGGATCCAATCGTTGCCTGGAACTGAGGGTGAACATGTGCTATTCTAGATTACTTTTAGGCACCACTTAGGTTTTGACAAGTAAGGAATGAATTTTCTGCATACTCCGAGTTGCACACGTTTTGAATGGCGGGACCTTGGCTAATGTGCGACCGCAGTCCAACACACTCACTGTCTGTATTCAAGGCAACCACTGTCTTTATCCAAGGCAGCCTCTTTATCCAACGCAACCGCCGTCTTTATTCAACGCAACCACAGTCTTGAAGCGCTGTATATCTGTCCTCACCCACGGTGCCAAGGTCAGCGCTGGTAACACACCATTTTAGTAACGTGTCAGTGGCTGTTGCCACGTTCCTCAGAAGCGTTGACCAGCCTTTGTATGCCCTTTATCCGCCGCACGTCAAAGATCAGCCTGTCGATGGTGCCGTATTCCCGCGGCCTGCGCAAGGAAGAGCTGAAGGATTTCGATCAAGTTGTTGCTCTCATCATCATGCAACCCCCTCCCTCATCTACAAAGGAGAGAAACTTGGGTTTACACTCGATCACCGCGTCGATATTTCCTTTCGCCAGTAAGATGTCGCATTATTGCTTGACATTCTGAGCCACAGCTGCTTTGAACGCTTCTTGCGTCTGCTCTAAGCCGCTTTCTTCAGAACACACTCTTAGTATCTTGTCGCACTTGGCTACGAGTTCCTCAGGGCTGCCTTTCAGAGTCGGAAACAATAGAAAATAATCCTCTCGACAAAAGAGGTAGTAGGTATAGAAGCGAAAGAAGTAGGGGTAGTAAGTGTATTATTGAAGTAGGAGTTGCTGTCAGACGTACTGGGTTGTCAAGGTTGCGGGTGGTACATAGTACTGGGCGCCTGGCAGCCTGTCAAACGTCGGACAGGAACCGTTGGCGCTAAAAGCCATTCCAGAGTAAACCCTTTTATTGATTTTCTTGGGGAAACCTACAACAGAGTCTCCCAAGGTTCTTCGGGTTATCATGTTCCACTTTGGCCTTGTCCCGACAACTTCAGGCGGTCAAGGCAAACTGATAGGAAACACAGACCATGGACTCAAGATTGAACGATGCAAGTCCCAACCGCTGGGAGCACGTGAGCAAGGAGTTGTTGTACTACGTTCTCTAAACACAAAGAAGATCCGAAGCCGTTGGCGTGCAAGGGTCCGGAGACAGGCAGACGTCGGCTGGCTTGGGTTGCACAGCACTATGAGCAAGTCAACTGTCCTTGCGACGGTCAGCCTGAGAGCAATGACGGGCACGCATAATCAGGTGGTATGACACGTATCCGTCACAGGTCCAACTCTGAAGTCCATATGTCGCATGGCTGAGCACAGCGCACAGCGCACAACGACCCCCCCCTTAAGAACATTCCACGTTGTCATTCTTCTATTAGGCTGACACAGTCACTCTTTGCTTGTGTGTACAAATTTGAGGCTTTAGGAGCTCTCTTCCTGGAAAACACACCACGGCTCTACTCCAGCCTGCAGAGCGACTACACCACTCACAAGCCAGCTCTGCAGCCACCGTCGTTCAGCATACAGTCGATATATTCCATTTTCGAACCTTCTCTTGCCAAACAAACAGCTCGCGTTATAAGAAAACAGCCAAGATGACGGGACCCTCGCTGCACCATAAGAAAACAGCGAAGAGGACGAAACCCTTGCTGCGCCATAAGAAAACAGGGAAGAGGAGGAAA